GCCTCCACTGGAAGGCCTGGATGACCCAGAAAAATAAAAGTCCTGGTAACCTCAAGAAGAGGAAACTCCAGGTTGAGTTTCCTGAAACCAACGTTGCTCCTGAAGCCTGTGTGGACCGGACATCGATGGTTCGCTCTGATGCTGTATGGAACACTCCAGCAAAGCCAGCAACAACAACAAATTGCTACTTGATTATTCTGCCCTGTGATTTTATGCAAAGATAGAAAAATGGTTAAAAGCTAACATGTATTTGTAAATAACTTGTGCGCGTACAAGTTGAACAAAGTTGGGATCAAGGTTGAGAGAACGTTTTAAACGACTTTTAAAGTTTTGCTTTGTTCTATTACTGTGATTTTGATATACACCAAAAAGTTTTTTTTCCTTTCACATGCACTAATGGACTATTTTCCACTTACAGTCGTCATATTGGACATTCATGGACAATGTTGGTAACTGACTATACCCTAAAATCTGTGCCACCATAGATATGGTGGTATTAAAAAATCAAAAGGGGGGGTTGTAACAGGGTGGTCCCTAGAAAAAGGGGAAGTTCCAGATTCCCTGCCCTACCCAGAATGAGGGTAGAGCTGAGCAGAGAAGAAGAGAAGGAAGCCGGAAGGCAGAACCCAATTAGAGCAGGCAGGTTTTGGGGCTTCAGGAGTGCACCTCTCTCCCTGTCCTAAAACAGATTTGCTGCCCTCTAACAACAGGACGAGAGCGAACTGCTGACATACGATCATGCAGTCTGGGGTTTCTTCTTCTCAAGGTTACCAGGACTTTATTTATCCAGGTTGTGCAGTCCTACCAATGGAGGCAAGCTTCCTCACATTCACTGGAGGTCTCTGGTTTTCTTCTTGGTTCAGCTCTGTGTCATGCTGAAGTGGCTTAGTGCTGTGCTTTAAACTGCTGTGCCAACAGGAAGGGCCCCACTATTTTTTTTTTAAGATTTATTTATTTATGCATACAGAACTGGAGTACAGGCCAGAGGTGCAGGGGTAGTGAAAGGATTCACCAGACAGAGTGGGAAGCAGAACAAGCCGACTGACAAAGTACACTGCTGAGGAGAGCAGCGGGTGGGTCAGGAGAGGTCTGCCACGCCATGTGGATGTTGAGGTGGCTTTAGCTTCTTAGTGTTGTGCTTTAACCCCCTGTGCCACCAGGGAGGGCCCGCTACCACTATTTTTATACCGTGTTGTTATCAAGGGGAGAGAAAAATAGAAACAAGCTAGCTCTGCTAAGAAAAATTTAAAAAGCAACATAACTGCAGATCTTGGTCAGTCAAACAAGAAAACTTTCTCTTAATCAAAACAAAATACAAATTTTTACCATTACCATTGAAAGTGGCCAGGGGTAAATGGCCAGCAGCCTAGAGTTCAGTCAGATCTTTCACCTGCAATAGTAAGAGACTCACATCTGATAGTGAAAAGAGGAGAAAAGAAGGCAGGAGAATCGTGAAAGAATACAAGAATGAGCACATCAGGCATTGGGCTGCAGTGAACAAACTGCAGTGGACAGAAGAATAGAGAACCCTGGAGCTGAACTCCAATCTGCCTTGAACTTGCTGAGTGACTATGAGCTTAACTTCCCTTGAGCCTGTTCCCTCATTAAAGAGGTGTTGCTGAACATGTTCTGTTACTCGCACAGGAAAGATGTGAGTGTAAGTCATAAGAAGGAGCAATCAGAGAGAGGAAAGGAAAGTCAGCGTCTCTCAGACAGTGGAAAAGCGGGAGCAGGTGAATCTATAGGTGGAGGTGAGCCCAACATAGCCGAAGGCTCAGACGTCCAGGTGAAGGGAGCCAGTTTCGTGCCTTTGCTATTCACAGGGCAGCTCTGCCCTGTACAGGGTTAGCAGATTACATGCGACATGGTGACCTTGGTGATGGGGCCAGAAACAGGCACATGAATCTCTCAAGAGGGCTTGAATCGTTTTCTCATTTCCACTATCCATAAAGGGGTGGAAGACTATCCATAAAGGGGAAGGCTGAACCGGATGTCTAACTCAGAAGCTGAGGGGGGGAAAACGCCAGACTCCTTTTCTCTCTTTATGAGAGAGCACATGCTTCAACTTGGACTTATAAGAGGCTGTCCTCATTACAATTAAGGCTGGGGGCCAGTTAAGACTCCAAAGCCAGAGACCAAGCTGAGGTGGTGTTTAAACAGCCTCCTGACCTACTGACTGAGAATATAATTGTGATTGAGGAAAGCTCAGACTGAGGAAGAGATTTGTCTGTAAGAGTAACCTACAAGCAATACAGTTTTTTAAGCCCAGTTGTCTTGAGTCATGAACTCCCTGCTGCCTTCCTGGTATGATTCCCTAGACTGTGACAGAGTCCTGTCCAGGTGTCTGAACGGCCAGCCTGTTCTGAGACTGTGTCGCACATCTGGGCAGCTCTATTTCCAGAGAGTAGATGGTGGCTATATAGGTATGTGATCCCCAGTGAGGAAAAGGTGAATCTGGACGGAAAAGAGAAAAACTCTGTGACCAGTCACCCTTCCCCTCATGGGCAGTCGGCTTCTGCAGCCAGCACTTCCACCACGTTTGATTTAAAGAGAAGATGGATTCTCTGGCCCCCATCTGCCAATAATCAGGAGCAAACTGAAAGCAAAAGGATGCTAATGTCCACATTTGAGCAGGACTGCAATCCATTTACACACAACTTTTCAGAAATTCAGTGAACACATAAAAATATTTTAACTTCCTCTTAGTTTCTGCTTCTAACACTTATTTCTGCAGGCAGGTGCTATGGGTCCCTTTTTATTAGTCATCAGTAAACAACAGATTCCTACACTTGAGTGCATCAAGGTTACCTAATTGGTGGTTAAGCATGCAGATTCCCAGCCCCCACACTCTGTTCAATCTCCTCTAATTCAGGGGCAGGGGTTCTGATGCCCCATTTCAGTAACTGCCCCTGGGGATCAGCAAAGAAAGCAGTGTGGCCAAAGGCCAGGCCCACACTGTTGACAGTGAAGAAATGACTCATACAGCACAGAGGCCCTTTGAGCTCTCTTTGGGGTCATAAATCTCTGAACACCTGAGTGTTTGTGTTACCAGTGTTCTGAGTGAAGAAGGTGTCCTGTCCCTGCCACCTGCTTTCCTTCTAACTTATCTGGAGTCTGTTCCCTTTGGGTTTCCTTATTTCCTTCCTAGGCTCCTGCTGCTGTCCTTAGGGACTTGGAAGCCTCCTTGCCCTCTTCTGGCTACTGTGGTTCAAATCCTGTGGCGACAGCAACGTCAGTATTGTCCAAACCCCTGCCCATGGGAGCCTCCCTGTGGGGGAATGAAAATTCATACTGGTAGCTGTGCTACTGTGTTGTATAATGTGGTTTGTAATTATGCCAATGGAAAGGGTTTGTCCAACATCTTCCACAGATATGGTGATAAAAACTGAAAAGTGGGGAATGATACCAGGAATGTGGCAGATGGTGCCCCTCCTCGAGGAGGTTACTATGAAGACAAAACAACTCAGGAATACAGTTTAAAAGCATCTGTTCTAAGGAGGGGCTACCTGGAGAAGAAATAGGAGTGACTGGAGTAAAGGAAAGAAGAGGGAGAAGGAAAAAGGGTTTTTGTCTAAGCTCCAGGATTCAACATTTGAGTTACAGGTTTGGAGATGTTTTGACATTTTGCGGGCCAGTGGATATGAGCCCTGGGGGCCAGACTATCTTGGAGAAGGTGTCTGTGGACCTCTGAAGGTGGAGACTTCCAGTAGCAAACCTTGGAGAGGAAGAGGCTTTGCAAGTAGCCGAACAACTAAAAAGGTTCCTGGTTTGCTGCAGATATAGCCTTTGTCTAGTCATTGCTGGCTGTAGCTACTGTACTAAAAATGCCTCCTCTGGTGCTGTGCTGAAGCGTCCTGCAGCTCTGGGAACATCTCCTGTATGTCCTCTGTTGTCTTAGTGAGATGGACCCTGGCCTGGGGTCTGGCTGCCCTGTGCCCCAGGTAGGCTGAGGCAGGAGTCTCCATTTTAGACAAGTGGCCTGTCATTTGGGAGAGGAGATGCCCATGCTCAGTGGCAGGAAAATGCCATCATAACAATCTTTATGCAGGACTGGACAGTATCAGACACTACTTTGGGTAAAGGACCACTATTGGTCTCGATGATTCTTATTTATCCCATTTGCTAAATAAATCCCTTCACTGTTGTTTCCTGAGACTGAGCAGTCTTGCAATTGAGGAAACTGTGAAGGACCTAGACAGAAATTGGTAAAGTACTTGGGCAGTGGGGTCTTGATCCATGTAACATCCTCTACCACCTGGTATCAATACTCCATACCCTGTTCATACAGGACTCTATTATCTCAAACTATCTCTTAACTTTAATTTCCTCTGTATCTTTTCACAAAATGGCGGTTTAACAACAGAAGGCCTAAGATTTTAACACATATAACAACTGCCCTCCGATATCTGACCCCTTCTTCCAGACGCCACGTGCTCTCCTGTCCAGCTAGAGACCTTGCAGGCAGGTGCCCAGGGAGAAGCAATAGGCAGAGGACTGACACTTCACCCCACAAAAGGCTCCCCACGCCCTGCTGGCCCTTGGGGAAGCCCCGGCCTTCCTGCGCTTGCTCAGACAGCACTCTCAGGTCTGAAGGGCCCTCTCTGAAGTCTTGCCCATCCCGAACTGAATTCACCTTCCAGGAGTCAGTTTTCCTGTGATTTCCTGGAACTTCCTTCACCCTGAAGTCTCCCTCCAGTACATCTTTGGAGTTCTAAGATTGCAATGAAACCGAAACCCTGTTTCTAACACACTATCCAGCCTCCTAAAATGAGGTGGGTAATCAGTTTCAGTCAGCTCCTTTCTGTGCTACAGCCTGAAGATTTAACTCCTGTTCCCTACCACCTCCAGGCAGCCCCGGGAGCATCTGAAAGCAGGACTCAGGCTGGGAAAACTCCTGGCTGCCTCTCTGACCACGGCTGCGGGACTCCCAGCCACAGCCTAGACCTCCCCCAGCCCCAGCCCCAGCCCCAGCTCTTTCTCCCATGCCCGGAGCCCCTTACCGTCCTCCCGGAAGAAGAGCACCTTGAAGCAGGGTGGGCTCCCTGGCTCCTGCCTGATCTCGCAGTCTCCGCCTCCAGATCTCTTAGTGCTCTGGAAGTACTGCTGCACCTCCGTGCTCAAGTTCATCAGGGGATCCGGGCCCCAGGACCCTTGTACCAGCAGAGGAAAGGAGCCAGACGCAGCCATCCTCCGCTCGTCTGTCTGACTGCCTCTTTCGCTTTCATTTTGTGGAAGACTCCTCCCTGCCCAAAGTTTCTGCTTTTCGCTCTAAACAGCTTTTCCCGGCTTCATCTTCATCTTAGCCCTCCATTATGGCTGCCCAGCACCACTTTAGGCTTCTGACCTCCCCATCTGTGTACAAGGGGCTGTAGTTCAGGGTCTCTGGCTTCACCCAGGAGAGCAGCTGCAGTCAGCAGCTTTGGTCACTCCACATTGCTCCAACACAGACAGCTTCATTGTTGCTACAGGCCCATATTGTAGAAAAATAGCAAAAGGCCCAGCCCAGCATGCTTTTTAGATGTTTGGAGGCTCCTTGGGGACATCTTTCAATAATTAAACAATTAGCAGATAGTTCCTTGCTTTCTTTTTGCTTTTTGTTTCCTAATCTGCTGATGTTGTAGGTCTAGAAAGTTGGGAGTGTGTGGGGACAAGGAAGACCTTTAAAGGTTTTTATGGTATATTTATTGGATGTCACTTGAGATGAATTCAGTAGCGTCCCTTGCTGTCATTGTCCTTAGGAAGCTGTTACCACTGCAGTAAGGACACTGCAGAATAACTGCTTTTGGGAGGAATATACAGGTGTCTGTCCCTGGTGCAAATTAGGAGGGCATCCTAACCTAGAATAGGGACTCCGAGGGTGACATGACCTGAAGACAAGGTTGATGGAGGATCACCTTTGAGGTAAAGAGGGGAGCTCCATCAAGTGATCCACTTGTCAGGGTCACCCCTGTCCTGGCAAGAGCACAGGCAGGAGAACAACCTTGTGGCTGCTTAGTGTCTAGGTCAGAGATGAAGGTGGATGAGAACAGGTACCTGGCAGAGGAGGTCTGGTGCTTCAAATCAGTGTGGAATGGACTTGCTGGAGGATGGAGAGTGTGGGGAAAGATGCCTGGACAACTTCAGGGTGATCCTCAGATATCCTGAGCAACTGGCTAGGTAATGGTGGCACCTCCCAGAGGGAGCTCCAAGGGAGGCTAGGAAAGAGAGACTGTTTCAAGTGAGAAGTGAGGATCGTCATAAATAATACCAGTGTCTACTAAAGTGGCAGCGACTGGTAAGGAGGAAGGAAAAGGGCATGTGAGTGGACAGAGGACTGAAAGGAAGACAAAGAATTAGAAGCAAGTCTGTCTGTGAAACCAAGGAGCTAGGCAGCCACTTATGTGGTCATAGGGTCAGGGAGTTGTGATTTTTGTTTTCTGGCTTGAACAATATTTTTAAAGGTAGAGCAGTCTTAGACATGCTCAATATTGGTAGAAAGAAGTGAAGAAAGGTGGAAGATACAGGTTGAGGGAGAAGAGGAGACTGGAACTTGCCGGTTGTAGACTAAGAGGAGGCCGACATTTTCCCACAGCACTGGAACCCAGTAGAAATAGAGGGACGCACGTCGGTATTTCTGATTGTGAGGTGTGGGAATTTTCCCCAGAGCAACTGTTTTTTCCTAGAAGGAGATTATGCTGTCTCAGACTATGCTAGAAGTCAGACTGCTCCCTCTACCTTCCAGGTTGCCTTGTTATTACTGTAGGCTACATTTCAGGATGGAGAATGCCCTCTGGGTTTACAGGGTTTTTATCTCTCTTTGTAATATAATTACACAAACATGCCTCATGTATTGTGCTTCTCTTTATAGTGTTTTGCCAACGTTGCCCTTTTTACAGACTGGAGAACTTGCATGAAGTTCATGCCATTTTCTCACTTCATGTCTCGGGATCACGTTTTGACAGTTCTCACACTCTATCATCCCTTCTCATCATTCTTGTGCTCATTACAAGGTGCTCTTTGATGTCACTTTTGCCTTGAGATAACATGGGTTTACGACACGGTTGATGGTACCATTGTCATTGTTTTGAAGGTAACTGCAGACGGGATGCAAGTAGTGAGAAATTCAGTCAGAAGCGAGCCTGAAATTTTGACTGAGTAGTTGCAATTTCAGGATCAATCAGTAGACAAAGATTTGCTTCCTGTAGATGGACGCAGCAAGTGGTTTCTTGACATGGAAAGTTCTCCTGGCAATGGTGCTGTGAACATTCTTGAAGCAGCAACAGGGCAGGAGCAGGTGGGCTCATTTGCAAAGCGTCCTCCTGTGGGCCAGGTGCTATTAGAGGCAGGGGTGCCACGGGGACCCCGGGCGGAAAGGAAGAGTAGATGTTACGATAGACATCACGGGAGCCTCATTTTAGTAAACTGCCCCCAACATTCACAACCACCACCCGATTCGTCAGCAGCCATCCACACCAAGCCAAGACCCTCCACCAGAAAAAAAGATTAGGATTCACCGAAGACTCAGGTGATGGTGTGAACCTGCTTGGTGTCGATGACAGGAGAAGCTGGGGTCACAGTGTGGGGAAGTGGGAAGTGAAAAGAGCCTGGGTTTGGGTGGCAGCAAGTGCAGAGTCAGCCCTAGAGCCAACCATCTCCAGATTTCCTGTTAGTGAGTCAGGGAAATCTCCTTTGTCCAAGTTGGTTTATTTAGGAACTCAGTTGCCTAAGCTGAAAGCATCATCTCATCTACTTGAATAACTTCTTACACTTAGCTTGGGTCTGCCTCTTGTTAAAAGAATATAGCTGGGGCCCTCCCTGGTGGCGCAGCGGGTTAAAGCACAGCACTGAGAATCTAGAGCCGCTTCCGCATGAGTTCAATTCCCGCCTGCCCCGGAGGTGACCACATGGCGTGGCAGACTTCTCCTGACCCGCCCGCTGCTCCCCTCAGCAGTTGTACTTTGTCGATCTGCCTGTTCTGTTCCCCACTCTGTCTCTGGTGAAGCCTCTCACCGCCCCTGAGCCTCTGGCCTGTACCCCAGTTCTGTATGCACAAATAAATAAATCTAAAAAAAAAAAAAAAAGAATATAGCTGGACTTTCAAATTCATTTCTAAAAATTACTAAATATAAATTTATAATCAATAGTATAGTCCGATTTATTTCTAGCACTTTATTTTACAAATTTTGAAATGAAGTGTTTTTCCATTCTTTTTGAATTAAAGTCTTTTTTATTCCCCTTCTTGTGCTATTTTGTTTGAATTTATAAATTCTGTATCTATTCTTCTGCCATCTTACACTTAAAATCAAAAGCTAATCAATACATACTCTTCAAAAATTGGGTAGAGTTTGCAATAATTTTCCCATTGTTAACTGCTTTTTAAATTTTTAATTAGACTTTTAAAAGCGGTGGCATCTATTTAAGCAATATGTTTGTTTTTGAAGCCTTGGAAGCCAGTAGTCAGTGTTAGTTTTTGTTTTTATTAATATTTCTACCAGCCTATACACATGTGAATCCCTGTATTAATCAATGACATGTTCTCAGAACTTTGAAATCATGCACAGATAGACTGCCAAGGAGCATGTGCTATTTAATAATCTCGGAATCCATTTAATCTCCACATAGCAGAAGGGTTTCGCAATGAAGGTTTCCGAGGCTTCATCACACGGGCTTCACTGGGCAGAACTAAGACAGTGAGTGGAGTTGGGCTTGACAATGAAAGGACCCATCTGGGCAGGCGGCTCTGCCACACAGCTCTGGGCACACCCCGAGCTCCTCTCGTCTCCTCTATGCCCTGGACCATGCAGGCCACACTGTTCTCCTGCCCAGAGCCCTGCCCGGGCCTGCTCCTCATGTCCTGCCCTAGTTGCTGAAGGACGTTTGCTGCTAAGGAGTCTGCTCAGGTTGGGGCAGAAACAGTGAGCCACGGAGCGGGAGAGACTGTCCCTTCTTGGTGGCAGCCTGACTAGGCTCTGTCATGCTTACTTGGTTTGTGGAGCATTTACAGTGCAACCGTTGACCACCAGGCATCAGATCGGGGTAAAAATTGAGCCAGACTCATTTCTGTATCCTAATGTCTGTCTTTATAAAATCACCAGAAATGTGCCATCACCCGTTTCCATGTGTAAGAGCCAATCATAAATCCCGGTGCGAGGAAGTAGCAGCCCCTATTCCTAACTCAGTCGCCAGCGGCAGTGACGTGACGCCAGCTGTGTCTCAGCAGCAGCTGCAGACGTCGCTTTACCACCTGACATGAAGAAAACAGTTCTCCTTCTGACACGTAGTTTGCTTTCTATGGGTTCAGTTACCCATGGGTAACCACAGTTCCGATGTGTCACCTACAAGATGGTATTTGGGAGAGGAAAAAAGGAACCCACATTCAATAAATTCTATTACACTTATTGCTATAATTGTAGTATTTTATGGTTGCTGTTAACCTCTGATGGTGCTTAACTGATAACTTGCATTTTATCATAGGTTTGTCTTGCAGTGAAAAGCGGGATAAAGAGTTTGGGGCTACACACCTGAGTCAGGCACCACAGGGGGGTTGGAAGGTTCAGCTCACATTAGGGTGTAGTATAACAGTATGCTCCCCTTCCTGTTCTTTTGTCTGCAAACCTGATGTTCACTGTTTGGACACAAACTTGTAACTAAATTATCTGACTTAAATTCTCAAATTTAGTTCTCTCCAGAGAGGTTCATCCATTATGAAATATCATCTGAAATAGCATGATTTCAGAAACAAGCACCCTTTAATTTTCAAAAAGCTGTTAATGGAGAAAAAAAGCTGAAACCTGTTTTAATCTATTATTGTCAGTGAATAATACTTTCTCCAAAGGACTCTGAAAGGTTATCGTTTGAAAGTAATGAGGTACTCCGGGTAAGCCTGGTAGTCATAAAATACCACAAACAATGAGGGATTTGGCACATTATCTGTGACAGTGTCATACAGGTCAGTAGGATTTTGGGGGTCCTTGGGAGGAGGTACAATTAATGATGAATTTCCAGGTGTGCTGAGCCCAGTGAGCACTCGCACATAATACATATGCTTGTTCCCATTTCTGTCTGGTTTGGAGTATGTATCATTGGCAGAATACTTGGCATTGACAGCAAAATAGGTTCCTTTTCCATATGCCACAGCTGTGAAGAGAAAACATTTTTTTAAGGATTTTATTATAGTAGTTTATTTTTACATGTCTTTGTGCATTTTTCCATCTCAGTTGCAAACCCCTTGGGTCTCCCATCACCAAATTGCCCATGTGCCATCACCATAGTTCAGTGCATTTCCCTCTCCCCACTGTTTTTGACCCCATTCCCCACTCCACCCCCGCAAAGTGTCTCTTGTCTATAGCTGTTCATTATTATCATTATTTTCTCGCCTGGTCCATTATACTCCTGCTATGAGAGAAACCACACGGTATTTTTCCTTTTCTTTCTGGCTTATTTCACTAAGTGAAAACAACATTTTAAAAGATTACATTAGTCTTCAAATAGCTCTATAGATTCAATATGTCAAATAAAGTTTATTTTTTTCAGTCTAAAACCTCTGTATATTTTCAGGGTGTGTTTCTTATTTTTACCAATCATTCTTCACCCCAGCATCACCAGTCCCCATTAGTAAGTCTGACCCAGAAACTTTGGTGGCACCAGGGACATGGCCACAGGGAACACGAGGCCCAGGCCCGCTTGGGGTGTCATGCCCAGCCCCTCACTGCAGCAGCCAGAAGCCGCCCCTCCTTACCGTTCTTCCCAGCATAACTGCGGTTAAAGCCATTGCGGTTGACATGTGGCACTGAGTCAGCATCTGTCCCATGGAAGAGCAGCTTCTCATTGACAGCATTGTTGTTCTTAGCATCCATGATTTTCTTCTTTATCTGATAGCTATTCCAGAGATCTGGATTCTGGATTCTCTCAATCTGCAAGTAGATCAGGATAAACATTCTGCTAGGGTCGAAAGCACTTGGCGAGATACAGCCAATGAAATACAACCATATTTTTATAAGCAAAATCAACGTCAGGTGGCAGCATTGTGCATTCAGAAACCTTGTTCGAGCCAGTACTTCACAATATATGCCTTTGGAAGACCGCTGATTTAATTTTGAACATCGGTCACGCACCACAGGAGAGTGAGCGGTGGTTAGGGTCTAACTGTTGTCATATGACCTTGGCCAGGCATTGTCTGCAGCTCCTGCTTCTGACCTCCATGCTCCTGACTGCCCCCCGCAGCTGTCTGCTTGGCATTGTCACTCTCCACCTCCCTCCTTTCTCTGAGTCCTGGCTTACCTACGGATGCCTTAACATAGTGAGAAGCACTAGAAAGGAGGCAGAAGCACAATTAATGGATGTAAATCCATCTCTGGCCAGTTGTAAGAGGGGGCATGAGTCCTGGTGGGAGGGGGCGGTTTCAGATCACAGTTGCCATGCTGTGACCAGACTCTGGCTGCAGACTCCAGAGATGGAGACTTGCGTACACCACCAGGAACCTGACAATTCTAGAATCTATTAAAAAACTGGCTTGGGGGATGGGTTAAAAAAAAAAAACTATGCAAAAGAGAACAAGAAAGTGACACTTTAAAACACTTAATATCATAAAATAATACTTTTCAGAAATGCAGGAGTATTGTTCTAGAATAGACAAGACATAATGACATAATGTAATTTGTAACTAGATATCTTGGAGTAAGGAATACATAAGAATTCTGTTTGAACAAGTTTGAACAAGTGGGGAAATATGGACATGAATTCTGTATTATTAATGATTTGGCACTAATAATATGAAATAATGGTAGTGTTATTTGAAAGATAACACTTTGTTTCTACAAGACATGTGCTAATATATTTAGGTGTATTATAATGTCTACAACTTACATTCAAACACCATCAAAAACTGAATGAGAGAGAAATATAAATGTGGCAAGAAATGAATTGAAGTGGAAGTTTTTGAATATTCAAAATTAGTCACAGTTCTAGTGGCCAAATCACCCTTTTTTTTTTTTTTTGAAGATTTATTTATGCATACAAGAACTGTACTACATGCCAGAGGTGCTGGGGGTGGGATTAGAGGATTCACTAGAGGCTGATGGGGAGCAGAACAGGCAGATCCAATAAGTACACTGCTGAGGGGGAGCAGCAGGCAGTTCTGGAGAGGTCTGCTGTGCCATGTGGGTCACCTCCCTGGGCAGGAATTGAATTCTTGTTGCAGCGGCTGCAGAGAGCTTCATAGTGCTGCACCTTAAACCGTTGCACCACCAGGGGGGACCCAAATCAACTATTCTTTATGCCAATGTTTTCACACCACTATGGACCTCACAGAGATGTCTTACATCCTAGCTCTGCTTTTATCAGTGTCACACACTGGGATTTCACAAAAAAAAAAAAAAATCCTTAAGAAAAAGACTTCTATTATAAAAAAAAAGTAGGGAAATCATTTCTCTGGTCATTTCACTCACCAACACATGGCAAATGTCCAGGGCCCACTACAGAAACTGCTGGTCAGAGAGATCTCACTGCTCTGGACCTGACATCTCAACACATCTACCTGACGACTATGAGAGGTATTTGATGAAATCTACTTGTTACCTCAAAAGCAAGGCATCAAGAGCTACATATTAGTTATTCAGAGAATTGTTCAACTGGATTACATTGAAAGATTTAAAAAGTGATAATAAATTTTTTATTGAATTTATCATGGATGATTTTGATGACACTCTCCAGTACTTGGTTCACTGGAGAAATCCATTAGGAGCAAAGTTCTGTTGTGAAAGTTCTGTCACTGGTTTGTGACTTGGGGACACTATCAACCTTGTAGTTGGGTGTTCCCTTCTGTTTTTCTACTGGAAAGCTAAGGCAAATTTGGGTCCTGCCCTCATTACTACCTAGGATCTCCTGTTACATATTTATGTGAACTAACAATACTTCTGTATCATCTTATTTTCTTTATCCTCCTCTTTTTGTTCATTTTTTTCCATTATTTATCTACAATATGATATTTACCTTTAGAGGATACTTCAAATATTTATTGCCTTATTATATTTGTGACTGCGCAAATAAATAGTGAGGTGGCAATGGAAACAGAGTGTAAGAGACAATCCACAGAGAAACTAAATGCAGGTATGTTGACAAGTTTATTTTTATGGATGAAGGTATTGAAAGATTTATCTTGAATCAGTAACTGGTGGACAAAAGGGCAGAAAGGGGAAGAAAGGAGAAAGATAATAATCAGAGAATGCGAATTAGTTTCTAGGAAATTGATTTAACAGATGGGTAAATTGAGGTATTTTTTTTAAAGATTTATTTATTTATGCATACAGAACTGGGATACAAGCCAGAGGTGCAGGGGTGGTGAGAGGATTCACCAGGGATAGAGTGGGGAGCAGAACAGGCAGATCAATGAAGTACACTGCTGAGGGGAGCAGCAGGTGGGTCAGGAGAGGTCTGCCGCACCATGTGGATCACCTCCGGGGCAGACGGGGATCGAACTCATGCTGCAGTGGCTTTAGCTTCTTAGTGCTGTGCTTTAACCTGCTGTGCCACCAGAGAGGGCCCAAACTGAGGTATTTTTATGTCACTGTGATTATGTTTGAGAGTTTGAGTCAAAGATTAGGATTGGTGATACAGACTTGGGAGTGATAAACATTGAAGTAATAGCTGAAGCTAAGAAAGGGTAGAGCACTTGATCGTCACTAATGTCATTACAAAAGAAAAATTGAAAAAGTATTCCTCAATGAAGCGCAGAGACAAAAGTCCAAAATCCTATGTGTAACACTAGGACTGGATGTCACTGGCCATAAGAGGAAAATCAGTTAAAGAAGGAAAAGAAAGCTGTAGATTAATGTCATTACAGAAGTCAGGGAGAATATGTTTCAAACAGCAGTCCACTGCTTAAAATTGGGAGAAGCCACAGCAGGTAAGATGAACAAGGAGCAGGCTGTTGGGTTTAGTCAGGAGGTGGGCACTGTTGCTCTGTGGATGGGGCAGAAGTAGCTAAGAGTGTCTGAGGAGCCTCTGTCTGTAAACAGTTTTATTAAAAAGATAAAACTCTCACAGATACACTGCATGAAGATTTCTGGAACGGGGATGGAAACCATGTAGATACATCTCTTGACAAGTTTTGATCACGTGTGGATCTGGAACTATCAGTGTAGGATAACCCTGGGAACCAAACCAATGTGGAAACCTTTGCTTCAGAAAATAAATATTCTGGAATGATTTGTAAGTTAGTACTATATAGAATGACACAAAAAAGCTAAATCCTGACATCTCAGGCATAGTGGTGACATAAAATGAATCTAAAACCTAAGCATAGCATTAAAGATATAATTTGGGGCCCTCCGTGATGGTGCAGGGGTTAAGGACAGCACTATCAGCTATAATCAGGCCCTGCAGCATGACTCTGATCCTTGGCTGTCTGGTGAGCTGACCCACATGGTGCAACAGGCCTCTTCTGTCTCTCCCCCCTCCCCCACCTCCCACAGCAGTGTATTTCAGTACATCTGCTTGTTCTGCTCCCCACTCTGTCTCTGGTGAATCCTCTCATGCCATACCTGCACCTCAGACCTACATACCAGTTCTTGAATGTATTAGTGAAAAAATTCTTAAAATAAATATCTAATTGTGGGAAAGAAAAAAAAAGATAGGTAGAGAATGAAAATGTAAGTCCACAATATAATTTATTTTCACCATGAATAAATCCCATGTCAGAAGACTTACCTTCTCTATCCTGAAGTTTGCACAGGTCAGATTAAAAGCGTCTGCCACAAATTTATAATCTGGGTGATCAGGCTGTAGAATTACCGCAAGGAAATCCTGCTGCCTCATGTCAGTCCAGTGAGCAGGGATCTCAACTGTAAAGTGGACAATTGATTCTACCTCAGTGGGGAAGAGCTGCTACATAGTCACATTCCATGGTGTGCTTTGAAAATGTGAGTGCTCTCTGTGTTCTTGTTTACAATCTCCTAATCCATTGTGTTCAAGTTCTTCCTTCTCTTTCTAGACTGTTTCTTAAAATGTGGACCAAAGCAACGTACATCTAAAAAACTATGATCTTGTTTATTAAAAAGATAAAACTCTCACAGATACACTGCATGAAGATTTCTGGAACGGGGATGGAAACCATGTAGATACATCTCTTGACAAATTTTAATCACGTGTGGATCTGGAACTATCAGTGTAGGATAACCCAGCTGCATAGCTTGTTCAGTCTGTAGGCCATTACATTTAGCAACCTAATAATAAATTGTTCCCTATAATATCCAGTAGTCATTTTGTCCTCTTCCAATTGCATGGATTTTGGTCTTGGGCCTTCCACATCTGTGCTTTCATTCCTCACACACAGCGTCCTTACAAGTTGGGGGGTGGCAGGCTTTGTATGTGGTGGTGTGCTAACAGCTCTGTGTCCTTCCTCTAAATCAAAGACCACACCAGGATCTACAGTAGCACAGTTAGCACACCTATATAACATTTACATGGCACTTACATGGCAAAATGAACCTGACTTGTCTTTTCCCCAGGATTGCTGGGAGTCTCAGGAATTTTTCCTTAAACAATGTCTTCCCAGTTAAAGACAAACACAGACTTTTTCTCCTCAGCAGAACTGGCTCTGGGAAATCTGTATTATATAGGATGGAACTAAATGCAAGGCTTGGCTGCGGTTGCACCTAAATGGACATCATTTCGTGCCCAGGATATAGTCTCACTTGAGCTGCATGAGCTAAGACCAAGTTTTTTTTATTTTATCCCTAAATTTTGGTTGAATAATACTTAGAATGTTGATGTAAATATAAAACAGTAATATGTCCAAAGGAGGTATAAAATAATAAATAGCAAGAATGAAAACTGGACTCACCTTTAGGTTTATCGAGGCGCCGAACAGACACAGTGTGACCATTCACATTGGTAGCAGTGTACGTGTTCAAGTTCACTGTGTAGGTCTGATGATTAATTTTGACATCTATTGTACTTCTATTTATTCTCCTTGCATCCTCCAGTTTCAGACTGGTCATTTTGTCAAAACAGTGATAAGTGTTATTGTCATTATATTGCCACTCTATAAATTCATGGACATAGTCTGCCCGGGATTCCTGTTCTTTGGCCAATCTTGCTCTCTTGAGCATTGCCTCAATTTCATCTCTAGCCTCAGTCACATCTCTGCTAAATCCCAAGACCTCAATCAAAGGTCTTTGGCAGTTCAAGGATATGGTAATGTTTAATTTCTTCTGTAGCTCGTTCAATTTCTGGGCCTCCTGTTTTTTAAAGTCTTTGATACACTCATCTTCAGTGGTGTAAGAGCACTGCTCCTTCTTAAGCTCAGCCTGTAACCAGGACAAACTTCTTTCCACACATTCTGCTTTTTCACCACACACCTGAAAAATGACTGTCTCTCTTTTCTTTTCCAGAGCCAAAGGATGATGCTTTTTGGGAGGCGGCCTTGAAAATCGGAGAAATGCTAAAAAGTGAAAAGAAGTAAGATTAGTTATTACTTACTTTTTGTGACCAGAATGCACATTGTATCCAAACACTTACTGATTACTTTGCTGGAAGTTTGTAATTCCTGGCCTTCCTAATCCATTTTTCCCATCTTCTCACCTTGCCTCTGCTCTCTATGACTTTTTATTTTACTCTTTGATTGCACCATAGGTAAGATCATACAGTACTTGTCATTCTGTTTTGACTTACATTAGCATAATGCCCTTAAGTTTCATCCATGTCACAAATGACAGGAATTCATTTTTTATAGCTGAATAATACTCCTGTGTGTGTGTGTGTGTGTGTGTGTGTGTGTCCATGTGTGGAGTTTTCTTTAGCCATTCATTAAGGAGAGACATTTAAGTTGTCTCCATCTTGGCATTATAAACAACACTGCTATTACTGTGAAAATGCAGGTATCTTCTTGAGCTATTGATCTCATTTCTTTGGGGTAAATACTCAGAAACGGATCCTGTCTTACATGCCTTTCAAGTTTTCTGAAGAATGTCCTTACTGATTTCCATAGTGATTAGCCAATTTACATTCTCATCAATTGTGCACAAGGTTTCCTGTTTTCTACAACAAGCCAGCACTTCTTATTTTTCTGAATTTTTGAAAATAGACATCATTGGATGTGATGTATCTCATTATGTTCTGATTTAAATTTCCTTAATGATCTGTGTGGTTGAATACTTTTTCATGTAGCCTGTTGGCCATCCCTCTCTGTGTTCTTTGGAAAAATGTCTGTTCGGGTCCTTAGACCATTTTTTCAAACACATTCTTTTTTATTAACTTATGAGTTCTTTATACATTTTGTATATATTCATTATTTATATATATCACATATGTGATTGGCAAATATTTACTCCCATTTTCATTTACCCTGTATAAGCCTTTTAGTTTTATGTAATCCTACTTGTTTATTTTGTTTTTGTTGCCTTTAATTTTGGTAGAAATAAAAAATAATGATTGCGGAAACCAAAGTCAAGGAGTTTATCCCTTATTTTGTCTCCGGGAGTTCTATTTTATCTGGTATTCATTCAATCTTTATTTTTGTATGGTGTAAAATAAGGGTCCACTTTCATCTTTTTGTATGTGGCTGTCCAATTTTCCCAATACCATTAATTAAAGACATAGTTTTTTTCCCCAATGTACATTCTTGTCTGCTTTGTTCTGTGTATCGATTATCAATAGTTGGGTTTTTTTTTCTGGGCTTTCACTAATGTTCCATGATTATATATCTGCTTTTGTGTATCATCACACATTTTTATTACTATTAATTTGTATATAGTTGAAGTCAGCAAGTGTGATGCCTCTAGCTTTGTTCCTCTTTCCAAGGTCATTATTTCTACTTGGGTAGTTCTTAGGGTTGCATTCAAATTTTAGGGCTGTTTATTCTGTTTCTTTTGGCAAATAATAAGGAATTTTTGAAAGGGATTGCACTGACTCTGTATTTTGTTTTATGGGGTATGAACATTGTAACAATAGTAATTTTTCTAATCTATAAGTACTGCAGTAATCTCCATTCATATATATATTCTTTCTTTTCTTTCATTATTTATTAATTATCTCAGTGTATAGGTCTTTCACCACCTTGATTAAATTTATTTCTTGGCATAATTTTCTTTTTATGCAATTTTTAATGACACTGTCTTCTTAATTGCTGTTTCTGATAGTTTGGAAAGATGAACTATTTCTCATGTGATAAGAATATCAGAAGCATGCATTTGGTAAAAATGTACAACTCACATGCAACTTTAGATATCATAGACTGTTGTGGGGGAGGCTGAGAGCCTTCTCTTTTTTTCATGTTGGCATAAAACACCTTTAGTAATTGTGGAAGGAAGAGAACAACTTTAACTTTTTTCAAGGACTGGACAGATCCTTTCTGGACAAAACCTTCAATGGCATCTATGATGGCTCCAGCAACCTTATCTGGGTCTTGATTAGCACTTCCTGGCAAGGCAAATAATAGAGTTGATTGGATGAGAAAGACACAAAAAAGTCAAAGATTCAAATAATCACAGAATAAATGCACACTTTCTAAAAATTTTAAGAACATGAACTTTTCAACACTTTGTAGCAAACATTTAAAGTCCTAGTTGCCGTGTCCAGGATGTCTGGATGCAAGTGACCACACAATGATCAAAGGACTCAGAAAAGTAACTTGGGTGTCTGATGTAAATACCTGCTCTATTCCACTGATACCAGCTCAGTTTATTTCTCTGAAATACAGAGCACAGATAATCTTTTAGTATTGCTAGTATACTCAAAATAAACAAAATATGATAATTTATATTGCAACATTATGATCATTAAAGGGAAAAATCATTACTGTGGTTCAGTCATCCCTTAATTTTACACATGTACCCTTATTCTCTCTGCTGTTTTTATGGACCTTATTTATCTGAGATAGTTTGGAAGACACAAAACTATAAGCAACTTGTTAGTAATCAGTAACTCTTTGCACACAAGTTATTAATGAAACTCCAGGAATGAGATTTTTTTTTTTTTTTAAAGATTTATTTATTTATTCATACAGAGCTGGGGTACAGGCCAGAGGCTCAGGGGCGGTGAGAGGCTTCACCAGGAATGAGATTTTAATGAATCTCCGCACACAGTGAGATTTTAGCCAACAGGAATGATCAAGTTGCCACCTGAGGTCAGTTCCTATCTCAGTATGCTCCATGGCTGGTTTCTCACAACCAATCAGCTAATTCATGGCAATTCACAGAAGTGCCATGTGAACTGCAGCTGGATAATTCAGCTGGGGCAGGAGGCAATGTGAAGAACCCTAACCAACATGGTGTGATAGGCCGGGGACTGCTTCAATTACTCCTACTTATGGTGCCCCACAATTGCAGAGAATGAGGCTGGACATCTTTGACTTGCCTATGTCAACAACTGTGAGACTGTAGACAACCCTCACGATCAGGGAAGGGAGAAATTAATAATTAACCGCCTGAGATTTGTAAGAATTTAAGTGGGAATGTCAGGCACAAGCACCCACGATCTATAAGTATTGACTGTGTCTCATCATAGGCTGATGCTCTGTAAGGATCTGAGGACACACTGGATATGGGTGAGGGGGTGAGTACAAGAGGGAAGGGATGTTGAGGAAAATGGAAACCCAGAGAGAAGTGGGCCTAGGGTGTGGTATGTCCACCAGTATGTTTAGGGCAAGAGAGCTGTTTTGAGGAAAGAGGAAAGTGAAGGAAACCCTAGAAGTGAAGTCCAGGTTTAGTTAGAGTGTGAAATAACAGTTTAGGCTAAGACAAGAGCTAAACAAAGGGAAGAGGTCAGAATGAGTGGTCGGGTGCAGGGAGGATGTATTTAGGCCCTAAGTCCGCGGGACCTGGTGACCAATTGGGTTTATCCTCGAGCCATGGTCCCCTTCAACACCTGCACATTCAGTGCACACGGGCCACGCTGTGCTTCACGAGTGTCTGTCTCTCATAGTAGGTGATGTGTCCAGGTGAGAGGCTGAAAATCAACAAAGGGACTGACAGAAAAGGAGAGATGCTCTTTTTTTCTTTTAACTCCTTCATTTCCCCTCCTCTTTTTACTCTCTCCCCTCCATCCTCTCCACTGACATCCACATCAAAGAGCAAATGTCTTTCTAATGGTTTTGAACTCTTTACTTTCCTTTATTTTTTTTCTCTATCACATTTCCCACAGACATCCCTTATTCTGTTAGAGACTCTCTAGGGTGAAAGAACATTCCGAATAAGGGAGAGGATGAATTGGGGTTTTGCCTTGTCAGCCAAAGGTTACTCACCTGTCCCAATGGCCGGGAGGCAAATGGATGAGTAATTCCGGTTTTCACTCTCTCGCAAAACACAGGTAACAGAGTTCTTGACGTCCTTTCCACCAACAACATGAATAATATTCTTGCACTTTAGTAAACCACCGTCAGTGATTATATAATCACTATTGCCCTGTTTACCTAGGAAACACATGAAAAGTTGCAAAAACAGATGCTGAAGCGTGTTTCTAATTATTTAGAAAGCAACATATCTGGCTTGAGTTGCATATAAAATATTTGAGTTGCATATAAAATATTTTATGCAACTCAAAGAACCTTGAACTACTACCTTTGATGAATTTTTAGCTTTCCTCCTCTTTTGAATTATGAGATTAATTTTACTTTTAATTATCACAGCCGAAATTCTTGGTAAAATATATACTTTTATGTAACTGTGTTTCTTTTCAATCCCAAGTCTTTCCCAAGTCTCTGCATAGCCTCTTATACTCAGTTGAGCCATTCACAAATTAGGATCAGAAAATATGATTATGCTTTACCTTGAAGTTGACATTGGGTTTCTACATCTTTTCCAGCACCTTCTAAAATTGCTTTGGAGACACCTATGTGAGAAAATTAAGATGGTATAAATGTGACCAAAACCCAGAATGTTACATTTAGATCAGAGTAACTGCTCATTTTCTTTTCCTCTTGTAGCTTTTTTGTAAATTGAGGTAACATTGCTGTAGAACACTATGATTTGGAGACTTAAGATCATACCCTTCTGGTGTACATCACCACCAAACACACCACAAAGGTACCTGAAGTCCTCCACCAGCATCCACTGTACCCCTCCCCTCTGTGTTTCAAGTATCCAACTCTTCTGTCAACTTCTACTCTAAAGTCAGATTTCAGGGGTCTAAAATTGGTTTGGTTTTATCTGATCCTTTGTTTTGACTTTGTAAGTTCCCAATATGAATGATATCATCTCATAGTTTTCTTTATCTTTATCATTTTTTTGCTTATTTTAATGCCATACAGTTCCATCCATGTTGTTGCAAATAGCCAGAGTTTTTTTTTTAATAGCTGAATAGTGTTCTATTGCATGTACATCATGGTACATGATGTACCATGTCTGGGCTTTTGGATGTTTACAAAACTTGACACTAGTAAATAATGCTGCAATGAACAGAGCAGTGTCTGTGCCCTTTCAATTGGTGTTGTGCATTCCTCCTTACTGTCTAAGCTTTCCCATCACCAGTGAGATAATAAAGCCTGGGTAGTTGTGATAACAAAGAACAATAATGCATAAAATGACTGTTATCAATATAAGAAATGTCTAAATACTTTTTAAAATATTAATTAATAAACAGTTGTAGAAATCACCTCAGCTATAGGAACTGTAGAACAGTTTGGCTGGAGGAAATTTCCTACATGGAATTCTCTGTTACGATTATACCACTCAAACCCAACATGTAGAGTACCTGCTTTGAGATCAAATGTGTTTGATGTTGAATTGACAATCACATCTGCCTCTTCCTTGGTGATATCTCCTGTGGCCACCTCGAACGTGATGGGACCGATCTTCATCGTGTGCACTCCCTGCTGAGGGCTGGACACAGACCCATAGACACCTGAGAAGAGAAGAAGATGGAATCAGAAGCCAGGCTGCCAACAGCAAGAACAGTGCTGGTCTCTGCTCCACACATGCATCCCATGCTGCTTCCCTGTCTGTGAGCTCTGACTTTAATCTGGCCCAGACCCTATGCAGAGTGACGGCCCATTTTGGAAAACAGATTATGAAATGCAATACGTATTAGATGTAGAGTCAGACACTGGTCAAGGTGAAACTAGCCCACTCAAGCAGGTCTCTCCCACTGATACAACTGATAATGTGGGGTAGATAATAAAGGGCAGCAATTAGAAACTGAGGAGAGTATACACCAGCAGGTAGAGTTGGAACAAAGTTCAAACTTGAAGTAGCAACCTTTAGTGGGGGAGGGAAAGAGAAGAGTTCAATTTTGTTTTGTTTGACATTTTTCCATTTTTCTGTCCTGGCTTTGGCCTTGGGGTGGCCAAAGAGGCATACATGGGCACAGGCTATGAAAACACTCAGAATATCTAGCCTGAGGCCAGAGGACTGAGAAAACAGGTCCCTGTGAGTTAAATAGCAGGATACTAATTTCTCATTATTTTCCATGCTCTTTTTTTTTTTTTTGATCAAGACCTTGCCCTAGGATGACTCCACATTCTTGATTCTATCCAGAAAAGCAAGAAAATGAGCTCTTTTGACTTGAAAAGCATACGGAGGGGTAGGGTGAGCATTCTTGATATTCACTAACTTACTTAGTTTGTTCCCTGACACTTCTTTTTTCCTCTCTGTTATTTTTCCACTCTTTTCTTTTTTCTCTCCACTTCCTCCAAGGGGTTTGACCATGCAATGGAAATGTCAAATTCAACTCAGAGGGAACCCTGTCTCTCTGACCAGATGATTTAGAAAATGAGTTACTGCAAGTCAGAGTATACAAGAGAACTTGAGACATGTGAACTGGCAACAGGGATCACCTATTCAGGATGTGAACTAAGGAAATTCTGAATTCACCCCAGAACTTCACAGATAGGTGAGTGTCAAGCTACAGGGAAGATGCTGGGAGGACCGAAAAGACAGGGGAGCTACTGCTACTGCTCACACAGGAGGTGAGAGGGAACTCTTAGAATGAACTTGACCAACTGACAGCCTGCTGAAGCAAACACACAAAAATTCACTATTTCTACAGACTTTTAAGAAGACCCAAGTTTCATAAAATAATATTGAAACTGTTCATCCTATTATCCAAAATAGCTTAATATACAAAGAACAAGGAAAATTGGACCAACTCAAGGATAAAGGCAGTCAATAGATGCTCATCTTTAGGTGACCCAGAAGTTGGGCAGTGAGAGGAAGACTTTACAGAACCTTCTATAACCATAAGGTCTGAGGTTAAGATTACAATTCTGAAAAGTGAAATGATTTAATGAATGCAAAAACAAGAGTCTCTCCAGAAAAACAGAAATTATACTGTAAGATCAAATGGACATTTTCAAAATAACAATACAGCCTGATGAGGATGCGGAGAAAAAGGAATTTTCCTGTACTGTTGGTGGGAATGCAAGCTAGTACAGCCACTGTGAAAAACTGTTTGGAGATTTTTCAAACTGCTAAAAATGGAGCTTCCACATGACCCAGCAATCCCACTCCTAGGTATCTACCCAAAAGACACAAAAACATTGATTCAAAAAGACACCAGCACCCCCTGTTTATTGCTGCTTTATTTACAGTAGGAAAGACATGAGATCAACCTCAGTGCCTAAAAGTAGATGACTGGATTAAAAAGATGTGGTACATATACACAATGGAATATTACTCAGCAATCAAAAATATAAACTTCATGCCTTTTGAAGCAACATGGATGGAGCTGAAAGGGATCATGTTTAGTGAAATAAGCCAGAAAGAAAAAGAAAAATACTGGATGGTTTCACTCATAGCAGAAGCATAAAGGACCAGTGGGGGGGGGAATAATAATAACAGCTATATAGGGCCCTCCCTGGTGGCACAGCGGGTTAAAGCACAGCACAAAGAAGCTTGAGCCACTTCCACATGAGTTCAACCCCCGCCTGCCCCAGAGGTGACCACATGGCGCAGCAGACCTCTCCTGATCCGCCCGCTGCTCCCCTCAGCAGTGTACTTCGTCAGTTGGCCTATTCTGCTCCCAGCTCTGTCTCTGGTAAAGCCTCTCACCCTCCACATCTCTGGCCTGTACCCCAGTTCTGTACGAATAAATAAATAAATCTTTAAAAAAAAATAATAACAGCTACATACCAGAGACGTTTTATGGGGGTAGGGTGGGGAATGGAATCACAAATGGGGAGGTGGGGTATGCAAGGGACTATGGTGATGGCACATAGGTGAACAGGTGGTGGGAAGTCCACGGGATTACAACTGAGATGGAAAAAGGCACAACATGATGTAAAAATAAACTGTTATAATAAAACAATATAAAGAAAGCCTGAAATAAAATTGTTCATCGGATAGACAACAGAGTATAGATAGTGAGTGACATGAGACTGATCAATTAAAAAAAATGAATTTGATACAGAGGAAATTTTTGGAAAGAAAAGATTGAGCCACTATGGGAAGCTATCGAAAAGCTTTAACTTCATGTCATTTTGAACCCTAATGAAGCAGAGACCAGTACAGACAAAAATATTTGAAAAAGCAGCCCTCTCTGGTAGCACAAGGGTTCAAGTGCAGTGCTAGGAATCTAGATGCAGCCTCAGGTTCTTCAGCAGGATCCACAGCCAGGGAGGTGACCACATGTCACAGCAAATCTCTCCTGTCTCACCTACTGCTCCCCTCAGCAGGGTACTTTGTCAATCTGCCTGTTCTGATCCCCACTCTCTCTGGTGAACCCTCTCATTGCCTCTAAACCTCTAGCCTGTACCCCACTTCTTTATGCATAAATAAATCTTTTTTTCTTTTATAATTTTTTAAAGAGAATAAACTGACTTTTTAAAAGATTTATTTATTTTTATGCATACAGAACTGGGGTACAGGCCAGAGATGCAGGGGGAAAAAGAGGATTCACCCGAGACGGAGTGGGGAGCAGAACAGGCTAACAGACGAAGTACACTGCTGAGGGGAGCAGCAGGTGGGTCAGGAAAGGTCTGCCGCGCCATGTGGTCACCTTTAGGGCAGGGATCGAACTCCAAGTAAGTGGCTTTAGCTTCTTGATGCTGTGCTTTAGCCCACTACACCACCAGGGAGGGCCCAAATAAATCTTTTTTTTTTTTTTAAAGATTTATTTATTTGTGCATACAGAACTGGGGTACAGGCCAGAGACTCAGGGGTGGCGAAAGACTTCACCAGAGACAGAGTGGGGAGCAGAACAGGCAGATCCACAAAGTACACTGCTGAGGGGAGCAGCGGGTGGGTCAGGAGAGGTCTGCCATGCCATGTGGTCACCTCCGGGACAGGCGGGAATCGAACTCATGTGGAAGTGGTTTCAGCTTCTTAGTGCAGTGTTTTAACCCGCTGCGCCACCAGGGAGGGCCACCAAATAAATCTTTTAAAAAATATTTGAAAAAATGACTGAAAAGATACCAAATTTGATGAAAGACATATATTCTAAGAAAGCTCAGTAAACTTCTGATAGCATAAAATCTAACGGAGCAAGCAGACCAGACTGAAGCATTTAGTTGATAATGTCTCTTCAAAGAGTCTATTTTTGAAAACACAAAAATAGTGGCTCATCACTACGTAAAGACCTCAGTGCAGGCTCTACTATTTGGTCTGCCACTCTTGGTCCAGATCACATTAACACCAGCAGGGACTTGCATGCTACATGTATAGAATGCAACTGAAAACACTATTATCAAAAATTGAATGCTTCATAAAAATCATCAGTATCATGCCCACCTATCACTCATAGTTATTTAATAACTAAAAATGATGTCTAAATTTATTATTATTTATTTAGTAGAGAGCAGAAAAAGCAGAATTATTGAAATATACTCCTGAGAGAGGTAGCGGGCAGGATGGAAGATGTCAATTGCTTTCAATGGGAAAGTTTTACTGAACCTTGTGTATCTTCTGTCTTCAGAATGGCATCACTGTCCAAATTTCCATTAGCCCTTCGAGCAAATTCATCTGAAAATGCCTAGAAATGCAAAGAGAGTTCTGATCACTACGGTCTACTCTCCTCAGCAGATAACTGATATTAACTCATCAGTCAGGGAGGGTGAAGATGAGCAGGGACCTGAGCTGGAGACAAGATGGGGAAGGAAGCCAGCAGGAGGGAGAGATAGGAGAGCCGGAAGAGGCACGTGGAACAGAGAGACATGTGAAGAAGCTGCACTTGCTTTTCCACCTTGGACTGGCTGAAGCAGGATTATGGGTGAAAGACCCATGGGAAGGTTAACAATGGCAGCTAGATCTTGATTGATTATGCTCTTTTCAGGACTTGTCTGGCTAATTCTGCCCCTTTTCAATAGATCCCCACCGGAAGGGACCGTAGAGGCCCCACTTTGGGCCAACCCTGTTTGACTGGGAGTTGACCCCCTAGGGGATGGGTAACTTTGGTAGATTGTTTTGCAAACTATATTCTTTCCCATCCTTCCCCTTTTGTACACTAATTGTATAAAGTTCCTGACCATTCAAAATCTTATACACTAGACCATGCTTTCTTTCTATGGGACAATCGGCAGAAACTATTTAGAGTGGGCAGGTTTGGGAGTTGGGGTGCCTCTCCCTGTCCTATGACAAAATGACTAAGGCATGATGGAAGAAGGGCCAGGAGAGTCTATGGAGCCAGGGTCTCAGGCTCCCAGGCCTGGGGGCAGGCAGGGAAGCTGCAAGCGGTGGATGCTGACTGAGAGACTAGAGGGCACGGGGCGCTCGGCCATTGCAAACTGCCTGCTCCCAGGGTGCCAGCATTTTTGGATTGTCAGGTCACAGAGTGCATCTACAATGCTGTGGGAAATAGTTGGTTTTTAAATGCTGGCAACTGATTGACATGTTAAAAAATTAGCCTGAGTAAAGCATATTTAGATGTTTCCAACAGCTCTTTTGAAACCTCTGTTACAATCTGCCTAGAACCATTTCAATCACTTACTGATTCCATGGAAATATATTCAGTTTTACCATCTTAAAGATCTTAAGAGAGCTAGTGGCACAATTCTGTGTGGAGAATCAATACTACTTCAATGACATTCCAAGTTTTTATATGGATTATTCATTTCAGAGAAGATATGCAGAGTACTCTCAGTCTTTAGCAAAGAAAATAAAGGTGGGAGTTGCACAGAAAATGGAGATTTGAAAGTTCAGGTAATTTCATGGGATGGTACCATGATTCCTCCGCAATGCATCTAAAAACTCTCAGCACTTTTTGTCCTTCATTTATTTTGTATTATGTATATAAATACTAAACACTAAAGTAATTATTATTTATAACAGAAAAATATGTGCTATAAAATTACTCCATGATCCACATCACCTTGTAAAAAATAAGCCACAATAGACTGTTCAAAAAAAGCATTTTTGACCAGGATTTACCACGTGGGTGGGCCAACTAAATGGACAATGTTTTGCTTGGGTGGTTTGTCTGCCTGATTGAAATTTAAGTTACATTTGCTTGCTTCAAAAGAAGTAATGGGTAGTGTCTTGAGCCAGAAAATAGTTAAGTAAACATAATAATTCACATGGTCCAATAATCCACAAACATCTTTGGGTTGATGGCTTTCACTTATGTTTAATTTTATACTATCATAGACTTTCAAACATTTGATGTCATATACTCTACTGGATCTGAACTTGGAGGTCAGGGATAATGGTATCTTATTAAATGCCTCAGTGTGGCTTGGCCACTTCTGGTACTCAGCAAGTATAAGCTGGTTGATGGATTTCTAGGGCTAAAGATAGTTCTGATCTTCCTGGTCCTAACACTCTTACTCCAGTGGGGAGATGCTGGGTTCCATCATATCTCATCCTAAAATTCTCCTATGTACAGCACTGCAGTTGTGCATTTTTAATATATATTAAAATTTCCGTGTTCATGAAGAAGGGAACCCCAAAGATGAAAAACAGATTGGACACTCTTGGGTGGCTCAAGGAATTAAAGTCCAGCACTATGAATCTACCGCAGCAGCAGTTCAATCTCCAGCCAGGGAGGTGACCCACAAGGCGTGGCAGACCTCTCCGGTCTTGCCCACTGCTCCCCTCAGCAGTGTATTTCAGTCACTCTGCTGTTCTCTTCCCCACTCTGTCTCTGGTGAATCCTCTCACCACTACCCCCCACTCACCTCTGGACTATACCCTAGTTCTTGTATGTAAAAGTAAATAAAACTTTAACAAGGAAAAGAAAAAAAGGATAAAGGGATAAGACAAGTCCACTACAATATGTAGGTGTTATCTGGATTCTGATTCAAAAAAACAAGCTGTTCAAATAACATAAAACATTTATAATCAATATGCAAATTACAAATTTCACAAGAACCTGACTGGCTCAATTAAATAATTGAATTCTTTTTTTTAAGATTTTTTATTTATTTGTACTTACAGAACTGGGGTACAGGCTAGAGGCTCGGGGTGGGGGGCAGAGACTTCACCAGAGACAGAGTGGGGAGCAGAACAGGCAGATTGATGAAGTACATTGCTAAGGGGAGCAGTGGGCGGGTCAGGAGAGGTCTGCCACGCCCTGTGGTCACCTCCAGGGCAGGCGGGAATCGAACTCAGGCAGAAGTGGCCCCAGCCTCTTAGTGCTGTGCTTTAACCCACTGCACCACCAGGGCGGGCCAAATAATTGAATTCTTTATGGATAAAATATATAGCCGCAAATTGCTTCAAAATAGTATTTTTGGAGGGAGAGGAAATAAATGAAATAGAGGTGAAACACAGTGGCATAAGTTGATATTTATGAAGATGAATTGTGGGCTCAAAGGAATTTTATATTGTTTTACCAATTTTTATATAGATTCTAAATGTCCTGAAAAAGAATTTAATTCTGTTTTTACAACCATAAATTTGCTTGAGGTTTCCCAGGCCACAATTACTCCACACTACTCAATTGCTCTCTTGTATGCAAAAATAAATGAAGAAATGGCCAAGAAGGCACTTGAGAACATAGGGCTGAACTCACAAAATACCAAAAATGAGAGACTGTACCTGGATAGTTCCATGATCCTGTGGATGCAGCAGAAACTGAACCTCCTGTAAGGAGGTAGCTTGATTTTTGCTACTGAACTTGAACACTTCTGAAATGATTAGTCTGGCAAAAACAGGTTTAGGAAAGCCTAAATTTCCTGTTCCTATGGCTGGAAATGCAATGGATTTTACGGACAGGCTCTCAGAGATCTCCAAACATTTCCTGATTAAGTCTTCCATACTCTGAAAAGAACAAAATAAATCTTTATGGAATGGGAGTTCGAAGAAAAATAATTTAGTGACCTGACCATGATGTCCACTATTTCATTTTCAGTAGACGTTAAGAATAGTCAGAAAGTGAAAGACAAGTACAGACTAGAGGGGGAGCCCTGAGAGCCCGTCCCAAAATCAAGCTCATCAGGATTGATGGGAAGACCCATAGCAACCACCATTCTAATTTCCTTCTTTTCAACTCTTCATTCCCTCTCCTTGTAGCCTCTAAAGGCAGGATTTATCTCCGCTGACTCTCCCTGACTCCCAACACTGGTTGAGCACTGTGCCAGTTTATAGTGCTACCAGTCCTCAGGGAATGTCAGACACCGCTACGAGAGGCGGCCATGATGGCGGAACCTGTCGCGAGTGTGACATGGCTGTAGGAGAGAGAGACAGGATTCTGTTTGGTCTCCATCACACAGAGGAGAGTGGAGAGGGCTTCCCAGTTTCCTGGGGATGTGCAGTAAGGCCCCACCTTGTATGCAGACATGCTGTTATTGCTCCAGCTGGGAGCCACCACGTGAAGCACATGCTGGCACTGCAGGTTGTAGCCACTGGTGAGGAGAACTGTGCCCACGCCCACGGCCACCGCTTGTCCAGCTGTGTTCAATTCCTCCTGGAGTTTTGGTCCAGCTGTTCCCAAGAGGGCTTTAGAAAGGGCTCCTCTATGTAGAGCAAGATCCCGGGGAACGGAGTTGACAACAACCTCGGCCTTAAAGACAAAACCAGTTTATTTCAAACACTAGTAGAAATCATTCATCAAGCTTTACCATTTGACCCCCTGGGCTGGCCCAATGGGGGACAACTAACACAATCAACTTTTCTAAGACTGAATGCTCCCTTATGCAATGTATTCCTAGATACTTTTTCATTTAAGGAACTCCAAGACAATAGAGAATTGTCAGAAAGCAACAGAAAAATAGTGTTGGAACTTTAGAGGAGTCCAGAGGGAGGTTTTTCAAGGCTGGTGAAGACACGGGGCTGAGTGGGCACTGAGAAGGATTGTAGCAGGGAGAGACACAAGATGTCACTCAAGAAGAGGGGGAGCTGAATATTAGCATGTGGGCTGTGATCTGTCACAGGTGGGCAGGCCTGTTTTGACAGCACAGTCCAGCCAGCCAGACTAGAATATCTCTGGTGATAGGGAGGACGGGGCTCAGAGCTCATTCCACTTACTGACTGTTGGTTGAATTGGTTTTTAAAATTTATTTCCTTTCTTTAGTGAAAAACAAAATCAATTTCAATGCTAAGTATCTGAGCAAATTCATGGATCTACCACTAGGTAACTATGACACATGTACAAATTTCTTGTCCCCTCTCAGTCCCATTTCTTCATCTGTGTATTGGGAAGCATAATAATCCCACAATCTATCTCATGGGAAAATGTGTATCAAGCACATAGCATAGTGTCTGGCACAGAGAAAGTGATCAGTCTGAGCTTCTTTTGTTGTGATTATATTTTATCTTGATGCAAGTGGTAATCTAATGTTAACAATCTCTTTCAAGATTTTATGTGAAAATAAAAGTATCCTAAACAGCAAAATTATAAAAAGTGGCACCTTAAAAATGCTAGAAAATATTTAAAATCATATATATTTAATAAGGAAGCTATATCCAGAAAATATAAAGAACTCTTAACAAGGCAATAGGAAAAGATAACCCAATTTGAAAGCAAACAAGGGATCTGAGTAGACAGTTCTCCAAAGAAATTCTATAACGGCCTTCCCAGGTGTCCTATGCCCACGACTGTGGGCCCATTAAAGAAGTCACTCCCCAAACAGAGGGGAGTCCACACTGCTGTCTGACTAGTTAGTCAGTGTGAAAAGTTTATTAATGTGTTTTTTAAACATGTCTTCCCCTGTTCAACCTAACAGAATTGTTCCTCCATCATACCCTGACTGTTTTCCGAGCTCCTTTCTTCTGTCCTCATCACATTTCCTTCCTGGGGTTGGTGCTGAGAGCCCCCAATCTCAATCCACAGGTGTTCAGACCCTATGCTCTAAGTTTTCTTATCCATTATCTGCCAACTTAACCAGAATTATCGATAGTTGTTTCAAATAAGTGTTAAGTCATTGAACCAAGGTGTTATGGTGTATTTCACACAGACTAGACACCTAGTGACCTGAATACATATTCAGTTCCCACAGATGACTGGCCAGGCTTGTAGGAAATGTCTTAGTCAAGCAGCAAAGTTCTAAGCACCTTGTTTTGAGTTGGGACTTGGGCTGGGCACGGATTCTCTCCTCGAGCCTGTCTTTCTTTCAGGCTGGACTAACTGGGGTAGAGACAGCTTGGAAGAGTGTGAATCGGGTCACTCACCACAGCACTCTGCACTTCTCCTTTCACCAGCAGGACGCTCAGGCCTTCTGGGGTCAAGAGAACTTGTCCATTCCCATGATCTTGTCTCAAGTCGGGCTGTTCAGCTGCTGGCACACTGGGCAGGGAGGCGGCATCAGCTTCAGGTCGGGTGTCTTTAAACAGAGCTGTCACAGCGCTGGCAAAGGCCTCCACAGTCTTCTCAGCTGTATCCACCAGGTAGATTTCCTTCAAGGTGCATCCATCTGACTTGTGTTGGAAAAACCCCTTGACAGCTGAAACGATGGTCTCCACACACTGAGACAGGGGAAAGCCAAAGATTCCAGAACTAATAGCAGGAATGGCGATGGACTGACAATTGTGCTTTTCAGCCAAACGAAGACTTTCTTCCACAGCGCTCTTCAACTCAGATACACACCTCTGGGCCTCCTGTGCACTCCACCGGGGCCCGACTGCATGGATCACGTGTCTGTACGGGAGCTTGCCTGGCTTGGAGATGGTGGCTCGGCCAGGTAGGATCTTGCCAGTTCTCTTCACTATCTGGTCACAGTCAGCTTGGAGCTCAGGGCCCCCTGCTTTTAAGAGAGCAGCAGCAAGGCCTCCGATGAGCTTGAGCTCCTCATTGGCTGCATTCACCACCACTTCCACAGGAAACCCTGCCAGGTCTCCCTGCTGCACAACCAGGGACACTCCAGGGGCCAAGTCTGCCCGACAGAAGCGTTTCTGCCCATCGGCGCCTCCCTCCTTTCCTTCATTCTCCTGTAGTTCGATGAAACAACCAAACAGCCTTTTGGCTTCACATGTATAAAACCGTTCTCTCTCCCGAAATATCTGTCTGGCTCCTGGTTGATCAATACAGGTACTTTTAATGCAAAGAGAATCCCAGGCTTTCAAGATGAAGTCTATTCCCTTCAGGACTTCTACCTTTGGACCCTTTAGTAAAATTCCTTTTTTAACTCTTTCATTTTTGTCTAGAATGAAATCTACTTGCATGTTTGATTTCCTTAATTTTTGCCAGAATGACTTCTTTTCCGTCCTTAAATATTCAATAATCAAGGAAGACTTGATTTCAACTATCCTTGTTATGATCATTTTTTTGTCCAGAAAGTCAAAAAGTGAGTCATGGATTTTATTTACTTCTTTCACACAGCCAGCCACGATGACCTCAGACTTGACATCTGAAGTTAACTCACTGATTATGACAGTCTTTGACGGAGAATTAAATTGATCATCCAAACTGCAAGTGAATCCTTTCCATTCCCTGCCATTGAGAAAGTCCCTATCCTCAACACATATGCGCTGATAAATTAAGGCCCCGGTGATATGACTTTCAGCTTCTAATAGGACTTCAGGAGAACAACTGGTTAAGAGAACATTTGGACCCTTTAGCTCATAAATTGCAGGAATTTTCTGTGCTATAAAAAGAGACTTAGAGAATTCTGCAGAGTCTACCTGTTGTAAAAACTGGAAGATCTCAGGGAGAACCTCAATGTGTTTCTGAGCCATGGTGTGCACCTTTTCCTGGACTTCACACTTCATCTTATACACTTCTGCTGGGAGACCTTTGATGCTCATGTGCTGAGAGGGTTCGTCATAGAAAATCTCTACCTCTGGGTTTTCCGAGCATAAATGTTCCAATGCCCCACTGTGGCACAAGAGAGAAAATCTCCCTGGAGAAAGGGACAATTTTTCCTTCAGACTTTGTTGTTCCCTTTCGATTCTTTGAGTGGTTCTATCTATTAATTCTATCAGTTGTGGCTCCATCTTTTGTACATCCTCTGATCTCCCCACCAAAGTGACCATCTCCAGCAGTGTATCAAACTCAACCAGCACACTGTTGTCTTCTAAGTCACTTTTTATGGTGTCCCACACAATGGGCTGCACCTTAAATGAGGAGACTTTATATTTAGACCTGATGTGAGCGAAGGCTGAGGAAGCATTTTTCTGCCAGCTCTTGATTCTCTGTCTTCCTTGATGGAGCAAGGAGGGTGCAGGTCTGATGGTCACTTCCCTGTCAAGTTCAGACCACGTGAGCTCACAGTGACAGCGTCTCACTTCATCATTTATCTCCTCTATCAGGTGGTTTTTCTTGTGCAAGAACTTCCACAAGGGAAGGTCCAAGGATTCTCTGAAGGGTGCTGGAAGCTTGATCAGAGGCTTCTCCTTTCCATACAAGGCTGTGCCCAAGGAGTGGTAGTATGGGAACACGGAGAGTGGCATTTTATTCAGCTCAAGTTGCTTGGTCATGATGGTGTCAACCACTTAAAGGAAAGAAATAAATCTAAGTATTTCAGTGTCATGTTTCAAGAGTAGAAAAGAGCCCTCTCCTACTCTAGAGTAATAAATTTTAAGGTTTGTAGGACTTATAATTACATTAAAAACCATGCTACCTTCAAATATATAAATGACTCTGTACAAAACTTCAAGAACTAAACAGGTATTCTTTGTTTAGTGGGATAATTTCAATTTTTATCTCTCTGTTGAAATTCTATTAAGTTAGTTCTATTTTGTATTTCTCTAACTTATCCCCCTCATGTTCAGAAATAGAGATGAGTTAGTCACAAGCCTGGAGATATATCTATTCACTGTAAGGAAAATGGTGCTCAACATGAAACTCATGTCAATATCATGGTATATGCTTCTCCTTACAGTCTTACATTTTAGCTTCATATGTGACTTAAATTCCCTTAATCCTTCTAAGTGGATAATAAATAATATTACAATTATTGCTGATAATTACTACATCTAATAATCATCACAGAATAATGTCAGACACTATTCTAAGTGTTTAATGTATACTTAATGAATTCTCACAACAACACTTGAAATCCAAAAGTTTCTAGCAAGTGACACACAATTAACAAGTGACACACTCCACAAACAAAAGCTAAGTTCAAATGGATTAAAAGTATGAACATAAGACGTGGAACTAAGAAGTACAGAGATGAAAACGTAGGCTAAACACACCAAGATATTGGCTTCAGTGATTTATTTGGGTACTAAACTACACAGTAAAGGAAACAAAAGAAAAACAGATACTAATCTAATATCAAATAAACAGCCTCTGCATGCCAAAAAAAGAAACTCATTAAAATGAAAAGATACCGTACTGAATGAGATCAAATATTTGTATTCCATACATCCAATAAAGGGCTAATAACCAAGATCTACGAATAATTCACACAACTCACCATAAAACAAACAAATAACCCAATCAAAAAATGGAAGAAAAGGAACATGGCACTTTTCCAATGAAAACTACAGATTGCTAACAGGCATCTGGAAAAATGCTATCATCACCATCATCAGAGAATTGCAAATATATACTCAATGAGATTACCATTCACCCCTGTAAGAATGACCTATATCAAAAAGGCCAGCATCAATAGGTATTGGTGAGGATGTGGTGGGGATGCTGGGGGGTTAGGGAGATTTTGGGGGGGCGGGGTCATGTAGGAATCCTTCCAAACTCTTGGTGAGAATGTGAAATGGTCAGCACTTATGGAAAACTGTATGACGTTTTCTCAAATTATTAAAAATATTCACCATATGTGATGGCACACGGGTGACTTGGTGATGGGAAACCCAATGGGATTACAATTGAGAAAGAAAAAAAAATGTACAAAATGATGTAAAAATAAACTGTTATAAAATAAAAAAAAAAGAGAGAGAGAGAAAAAAAGCAAGAACATCAGCATAATAATATGCATGAAGCAGGGTTGTATTTTTTTCATAACTAGAGCAAAGCCATAAGCAAGAACGTGAGAAAGTTAATATTGTACATGTTTGTTTATATGGACATCATAACATTTGTAATGGAAATATTCATATTTATGGGTTGTTATGTATGCTGGATAATCACAATGATTCAATTTCATGTAAGGCCATCTTAATACCCAAAATGTATTAAAAGTTATTAAAACAAAACAAAAAAAAGAATCAGTAAACAAGGGGGAAATGGCAGAAAGAACATACTATCAATTACTTCATTAAATAAAATGAACTAAAATTTTAAAAAAATTCACCATATGGGCCCTCCCTGGTGGCACAGCGGGTTAAAGCACAGCACTGAGAATCTAAAGTCGCTTCCACATGAGTTCGATTCCCGTCTGCCCCGGAGGTGACCACATGGTGTGGCAGACTTCTCCTGACCCACCCGCTGCTCCCCTCAGCAGTGTACTTCGTCGATCTGCCTGTTCTGTTCCCCACTCTGTCTCTGGTGAAGCCTCTCACCGCCCCTGAGCCTCTGGCCTGTACCCCAGTTCTGTATGCACAAATAAATAAATTTTAAAAAAAAAAAAAAATTCACCATATGATCCACCAATTCCACTTCTAGATATCTAACCAAAGAATATAAAAACACTAATTCAGGGGGATACATGCATTCATGTGTCCATTGCAGCACTGTTTACAATCAAACTATGGAAACAATCTAAGTCCCAGAAGACAGACCAGTGTATTAAGATGAAGGCCATTTTTGAATACTACTCAGCTATTAACAAGCTGACTCCTGCCTTTTGTACTACATGGATGGAACTAGAGGTTATTATGATAAGTGAAATAAGTTAGTAGGTCAAAGACAAATACCAGATGTTTTTTCTCATGAGTGGGTTATAAAGGAAAAAAATCTAAATGAAACACAACAAAATCTAGGAATCTGACTGTAGAGTTGAAGCTACCATCTGAGGAGAGTGGAGGTTGGGCACAAAATAAAACAGACATAATTTTTTGGTCTGTCATAAGTAGAGACTTAGGAATTCGTTTTTATCCTCCAAAACTTAACATTGATTCTCTAAAGTTTAAATCACTGGATGCATCATGTATCATATTCCTGATGAACAAGATTATAAATTGGATTTTCAATGAAATAAATGAATTAAAAATAAATTGTACATCAACTGACAACTCTGTTAAAATAGTTTAGGTTATGCCAGATAAAGATTATGAAATTAGACTACTACATACTTACCTTCTCTGTCCAAAAATTCAATCAGAGCAGAACTCTCTTCAGGAAAACATTCAACTTTGGTAACTCTTCCTCCTCCATTATCAGGATTTTCAAATACAAGTTTTAATTCACAGACATCAACACCAGGTGGCAGATTTTCCACCCTGATTGTTCTTGTGACTTCCAGCGGTCTTGGAGAAAGCTGAAGTTGTTTCTCAGCAGAGACCTTGGCACAATCAGCAACAAATTTCATGATATCTAAAAATACATAGGTGAACAAATAAACACATTAGACAATTCTGCTTTTCTGATATGAAATCATCTGGATATTATTAAAAATAAGGGGGAGTTAAGCACTACTTTTTTAGATGCTAGATTTTAATTGCTGATAACAATTTTATGCCTAAACCTGCCATTCTTGAACCAGGCCCGTATAAATGTCTTATTTGGATTACTGCCCAGAACTGTGTCCCTGTCTCCTGGCACAACCCTCTCCATCCCTGTTTGATGTGGCCACCTGATTGGTCTCACTACAATACAAGTATTCTGGTTTCCCTGCTTTCTGAAGTCATTCAGTGTTGCATCATTCCCTGCAGACATGAGTTATGCTACTTAGCCAGGTTTACCTTCCCTTGGCTTTTTGACTTCAAGCTAACTTTTAATCAACACTTCTGAGTATTCCCTGGCATTCAAATGTGGCCACAAATACTATTCTGTCTTGAAAGCCCATTCTTATTTTTGCCTGTGTTTATCCAATTTTGAATGCTTGACATGACCTTCTCCAAATTTTTATACTGTTTCTATTGCTCTTTCTGGACTCAACCCAACTATCCTTTTCAAATTAAAAAGCAGTGATGGTGGGCCTATGTGTGCCAGCACTGTGCTTAGTTAGCACCTGGAGATATACAGGTGAACCTCTCACATTCTTGAAAGTTCACCATCCAGGAAGCAGGAAGTCTTAAAAGGAAAGAAATTGCCTGTGGTCTAACCAAATGAAATAGGAAGGTTGATATTTGGAATTGGACAAGGATTCCCAGAGTAAGTGACCTGGCTGTTGAAGGTTGACGAGGCATTGAACAGTAGATGCAGGGAGGATCTCTGCAGGCAGAGGGCACAGCAGTGGCATCAAACAGTGTATTTGGGACCTGACTGGTGCTGATGGAGCATAAATGTCATAGAAGGGAGTATACACGGCTAAACCAAGCCACCCCAGCTTTTTGGGTTCTCTGGCCTCCCTCTCCCCACAGCCTATTCATAGCTAAGGAAAACATCTCCTTTTGCACCTCATTTACATTTGAGGTCCTCAGAAATAGGAATTTATCATTTCTGTACCCTCAGCACCTGGACAAGTGGCTGGCACAGAACAGGTGTTCAATGTTTTTGATTAAAAAGCAAAAATTTCAAAGATTAACAAATTATCATAAACTTGAAATAGGAATAACTACCTTTCTTGAATCCTTACCATGGCTCAGCTACTAGGTGAAGAGCTTTCAGACTACCTCATTTAATTTTTTACAGAAACTGGACGAGGTAAGTATTATTAACCCAATGTGAGGAAAGTAATGTACAACCTCATGGATCGGTTAAATGGCAGAGTTAGAATTTTGATTTTATGAATGTGCTCTTCACTAACCAATCCACTGCCATAGCCTTTCTCTATGACAATGAGACTCAGAACTGGAAACTGTTCTTGTCTTTCTGGAGACAGCTCTTCCACTCTCAAGGACTCACTGACCACAGAGTCCTGACCGTAACCTGAGGAGCACTCATTTTCTATACTCCAAGCATCTCGATGCATGCATGACCATGGAAGTACTACGGGAGAGTCCAATAGAGGGGATCAGAGAACAGGCTGGGGCAGTGGGTCCCTGGGTTCAAGTCCTGCCCTTCCACTTATCAGTGCCTCTTCTCCTCCATTGTATATGGGGGATTAATACTACTAACCTTGAAGGTTGTTGTAAGGAGCATTGACTGATATGTGGTAACAACATATGGATGTTTGTTGCTATTATTACTTCTTCCCAGTAGTAATATTATTACATCTGGTAAACTCAGAATCTAGTTTGAAAATGCAGATCAATATTTACTTCTCCAAGAGAAGTAACCCGTGGGACAATGCTAACTCCTCTGCTCTGAACCATGTTAATAACCTTAGATCAGACTGGTTTGGACATGTTCTCTTTCTCTGTCCGTTTTAGATGTTGTGTGTCTTTCTCTATCACATGCACACACACTCATACAGTAAATTCAATCTATTGAACATAGCAGATTTTGGTTTCAAAACAAATTTGCTTTTTTTTCAAAATGAAAAAGCAGCCATGGTAATTTAGTCTTCTCTTACTAGCTACTAACAGAATTATACCTTCAAAGCCATTCCCTCAGAGAATGTCCCAAATCCCAAAGTGTGTACAAGGAAGACTGCAGGCAAACGAAGCATCACTTGATCTTACCTATGTATTTTCGAAAGGTAACTACGGCAACATCAAAATCTCGAATTATTTCCACTTCAAAGTCGTCACTGGACAGATAACTTGTGTTCTCCACTAACAAGATTATCATCAACTCAGTCACATTTGCCTGGAGATTTTCAAATGCTACCAAAGAAGATATAGTTTTACTTTCTGTTCCTTTGTCTTCCATCTTTCCTGATCTTCTATTGAGGGAGGGTTTTGTATCTGTTTCTTCTGGCACATCTGATTTTAGGGAGACAGATGAGGCACAAAATGTTATGTTTATCTACAATGATTTTAACAAAATTAATTATCATAAGATACTTCTCTTTTCATTTTTAATCTCTCAGCTAACCAAAAAACACCAGCCCTTAGAAAACTTTTTGTGTAATAAAATGTAACAGTTAGCTATCTATAATATCAGGTTCAAATTCATTACATCTTTTCTGCCTGTCACTCTGAGAAATCTGCCTTATCTATCATAACACGTGAAATAAACTTTGATCTCAGTACCATATTAAAAGTATTAAACTTGTCTTCTCAAATACAAGGAACATATTCATTCATCCTTATATTCTGGGACATAATAAACTTTTGAAACTCAACTTGAAGATTTGCTTATTTGGAGATTTACTGTTTGGGCCACTGAAGGGAAGTGAGAGTATTTGATGATACTCAAACATGTTATCATCTAACAAATTATACTCTGAAAAGAAAAAGATTCCCCTTAATGAAAAAAAGAATCCTTACAGTGAATGATTAAGAACTACGTGGAGAAACTGAAATGGCCCACAGGGCTGTATATATCCATTAAACTCAGTAAACAGCAATTATGCCATTTAGCTTGTTCCTGTGCATTGCTGTCCACGATAAGTTACACATATGCATAAGTCAGTATCTCTTTGATTGTCCAGTAAAGCATGATATTTATGATATGATCTTTAGACATTGTATGACAACTATTACATGGGGCCATTATTATGTTTGAGAAGCTGGATATGGAAAGTGGTACACACAAAACATTAGGTCAAGGACTTAATGGGTTTCTCATAGAGGTGAACAAGAAAAATTAGAACAGACTTGTGTACGTGTTTATTATAGCAAAATAAAGTGCTATGTGCTCACTGAATTAATTTCATGTCCTTCCTGGAATACACCAGCTTTCTCTTAGTTAAATTCCAAAATAGCATTCATGTGGCTGATGAATATGGGTGGAAGTGGTGATTTATTCTTTCAAGTCTGGTCAATACCAATCTCCTTTATATCAATTTCCATTCTTCCTTGCAGTGACCCTGAAGGTCATCAGTGAAACTGGTGTCCAACGATGGGAGAAACCTGGATACCTGATGTGACTGTGTGAAACAGCCTGGCCACCAGCCACACTGAACTGTGATTTTGGGGTTGACAAATATTCCTGGTATATTCTGGAAATGACACAACTCTCATGCCAAATAAAATTTTCCTTAATGATTAAATAACAACATAGATTAGCATTCAATGAGACAGATATTTGTAGAATGACTACTGCCTGGGGTAAAGTTAAGTGACTTTAAACTCTGCAAGTCTTTAGCCATTGCCGTTGGGCATGTCCCTTAGTTTTAAATGAGACTAAGTTAAACTAGGTAAACAGTAAGGGCTTTCCAGCAATACAATTTTATAATCAATGAAGCTTCATCAAAAGACAGACTTGGCTTAAGGCCTTATAAAGGGAACCACCGGTCAAGCCAAAAGTCCAAGAAACAGATAAAAAGTTTGGGCTTGCTTGGAAAAGCTCCCAGGACGAGGAGGATGCAGCACAGATATTCCAAGCTATATAGAATTTGAGTAGCGAAAATGGTGGAGAGTGTGATGAGTAACAGAAGTACAGGTAGTGCTGTGACTACACCAACCTAATCAGAAAATAGCAAACTGAGCAGTGAAGCACAAGGAGCAGTCATGTGTGTAGGTGCAAGAAATGAGGCCAGAAAAGTTGGTTCCATCCAGAGCACAACCAGGACTTTATCTTGCATTTGGTGGTTAAGTGTAAGTTGCAGAAAGGTCCCGTAAAGAAGATAACAGGATATTCACCAATGATACGAAGGACATTCAGACTTAAGGAGAATCTCCATCCTTCCTTACAGTGACTCTGAAGGTCCTATTAGTGAAATAGACTGTGTGGACACAGGAAAAGCAAGCAGGAAGCTCTAGTCACGAGGAGCTTGTGCAGTGATAACTGACATGCTGGACAAGGGCAGTGATGATGAGGGGGAAAGGTAGTGAAAACATGACAAGTAGAGATTACCAAAATTTCTGGAAGGTGAAAGGCAGACTGGTTATAATTCTCAAGTCAAATAAGGAAGCCAGAAGGGGGCACTGGTTTGGGGAGATGACACATGTGCCGTCAGATCTGTTGGTTCTAACATATTTCCCAAAAGGAAGTTTAGACACAGCCTGGAATTTAGAAAAGTGTGGAGTTTGGAAGCACAGATATGGACAAGCCAGAGTTGTCCAACTCCAAGGGACCAATTACCTCTATGCCTGCTCTTTTCTTTTCTGTACATTGTCCCAGTGGCTAATGTCCACTGCTCAGGCACAGTCCCCGCAGCCAACCCAGCAGGAAGCTCAGGGCTCATACCCCTGGTGACAGTGGGGCCTATTCTGTCCTTTCCCTGCTCTGCCAATGCTTCTGGGTCTCTGTGCTTGGGGTTCTCTCTCTGCCCCGTGTATTCAAGGTGCAGCATCTGTTCTCCTCATGCCTGAAGAATGGGGGTTTTAGGGATCTACATTTCACCCTCATTTTGCTCAATATTCTGATTTATTTTAAGAGCGATTTTTCAGGATTCAGTGTGGAAAACTGTCAACAGAGGAACTCCTCTTCCACCTCTAAAGGGGCCAACTAAAGTGTCTTGTTTGAACCCACCCAGCGTCCTCTCTGGCTACTATCACTGGAACTGGGTCAGTATACACAGGTTAGAAAATGGTACTAAGACTTCTAGGATGATGAGAAGCCCATTGGTGTGGAGCACTTATGACAACACATTGGAGGTTTCAGCAAATCTGAGACAGTGGTAACAAAGCAGTTGGAAAATCTAAGAAATAAAAACTTGATTAAATTCTGGACATGGGAAATGACACAGCTATAAATGTACAAATACAAAACCACTTTTGGGTCTAAAATTGCTTTGTGTCACAGCACACAAGGCAACTTTCAAGAGACTGACCCTTAGGGGGACACAATGAACAATGGCAGCTGGGTGAGCAGGGCCCATAGGTGAAGAATGAAAGGCAGGAATTCCTCTAAAGAGACAAAAATTTCTTTGATGACTTCATAAGAAACATGAGCTTTAAGAAAAAGCTGCTTACTCAGTTCTACCCTTAATTAGTACAGCCATGTGAGGTAAAGATGATGTATAACCCCATCTAGTTATTTTGCCAAATAAGGCCTACTCTCCTGCTAGTGTCATTTTCAAAAAGAAAGTTGCAAAAATCTATGTGATCTCAAGACAATTTGATTTTAGAGGATGGTATTTACACATTCTTTTGGAATTCCATTTCCCAAAGATTAAATATAGGTAGCACTTCCTCTCCATTCCAGCATGGTCATTCTTTCCTTCCCTTTTAACAACATGCTGAGCCAGGGAAATTACTTGCTTCTAAGTCAAAGTCAGAGGCACCACCCAGACACTTAGGCAGCAGAGTCCAAAAAGCCACTAGGCTGTTGACTTTTTCTGACAGCCAATGCAGCAAGAAGAGTTGCTGCTGGCCTGGAAGGCACTCCCATCCCTGCACCCTGTCCCACTCGGGACACACACGTTTCTATGGAGGCTTCAGAGGCGGCATTTTTTGTACCCAGTGCTCAGAAACTGGTTTTGCCACCCAGGGCGGCAGCATTTCATGCCTTGGCTTCTCGATGGTCAGTAGCAGATAAATGGGTTCTAAGGGCTGGTTCACCCACCTTCCATGTAGATTTTTGCCCTCCTGTCCACTGCTAGGTGTTCCTTTGCTCCTGACAAGCTGTCCCCATCCTTCTCACCTAAACCTAGGAACTCGAAGGTCAAGTCCAGATTTGCCCTCTATACATGCAGCACAAAGCATATAGACAATACACGCCCTCTGCAGTGTGCAGCTAAGCAAACTCTGCCTTTTAAAACCAAGAAGAGGGGACTGGCCAGCACCATGCCCTCTTGAAGAAAAGCAAAGCTACCTTAGGGGGGAGACCTTACCTGGCTCTCTGGCATGGACTTGGGTCTTGGATTCCTGAAACCCAAACAATAAAATAGCATTAATGAATTAGCAATCATGTCTTTACATTTAATAAGTATCTCTGGGCACAACCTGGAGCCGTAGGGCTTAGAGAGAAAACAATGAAGTGTCTTCGAAAGAAGTTGTCCTGTTTCATCCTTAGCAGTCGACCACCCCACACATTTACACTATTCCAATATCAGGACATGCAGTGTGGGTCACCGTCCCACAAAACAGTGGTGAAATGAAACAAACATACTAAGTTCCAGGTTATAATGCACCCCGGCCATACCCCAAATCTGACATCTCAACCAACATTATTGTAACCTCCAAATCTTGTCTTTTCAACAATCAAACAATCAACAATCAAACACAAACTGTCCCCTATTCATTATTCCAGACCTACTTTTCACACCCTTATCCCCTCTATTTTGTAAGTTACTCTTGTCTCTCCAGTTTGAGTTATACTTCTCATTTCACAGCATTTTCTCATTGCAATCTTCTCCCAGACACCTTACAAGAAAACCCACTCTTTTATTTACCTTCACTGGAATGTCCTCCTCAAGGACATTGTGAACTTTGTTTGGGGTTGTGGGCAACTTCACAGTTAACTTGAATGTTCCTTTTCCAGGCCATACTAACTCATGGTTGTCTCTGTCCAAGACTCTCTGTCGAACTGAAATTTTAAAAATTTAAAGACGAATTGTCAAGCAGTCTTCATTCACAAAATTATCCTATGATTTCCATAGTCTTCATCATGATAAATCAATGGCTTGGTTATTTCTCAAGAGGGGTCTTATGTAACAAAAACACAAAAATTTAGCAAGACTCGGATTTCAATTCCATCTTTAAAGTTATCATATTTAAGAAGAGTTATTTATTTGTGCATATGAGAACTCGAGTACAGGCCAGAGGTGCAGGGGGTGGGGAGGAATGAGAGGATTCACCAGAGACAGTGAGAACAGAACAGCAGATTGACTGAAATATGCTGTTGAGGGGAGCAATGGGTGAGTCAGGAGAGGTCTGCGGGGCCATGTGGGTCATCTATCTGGCCAGGGATCGAACTCTTGCTGCAATGGCTGTGGACAGCCTCATAATGCTGAGCCTCAACCAAGTGCGCCAACAGGGAGGGCCCTAAAGTTATTGTTTTTAACTGTGAATATTTTCCTTAATAAAAATACAAAGTCTGTCTTCTGGTCTATTAGTAAGTAGTTAATGAAGATTGTTTTGTATGTGTGTTGAGCGGATAAATGAAATATTACAAAGCACATTGTATACCTTACCAGAGGTCATTAGCAATATTTATGATGGAGGAAAGAGGCAAGGGGAGGCATCCCAAGACCCATTCACGAGAGGATGTGTAGGAGTGGCTAGTTTAGCCATTAACAGTGGAAGGGGAGAGCTTAGCAATTAACACAGCCATGAAGTCAAGATCCTCAGGACACAAAGCTTGGATGCCAGGGTGTGGGTGGGAGGTCCCAGAGGTAACAAACTTTTGCAGGCTGTGTCTGAAGCTCAGACCCAAAAGGTAAAAGAAAAGGACAGGGACACGAAGCTCATTAGGTAATCTCTGGCCCTCTCAAGTTCTGCATAGATATTTAAATCAGCAACTGAGTACCAGCAAGGATAGGCCCTTCCCTATCAAGAGGAGATAATAAAACCAAATGCTGCCCCCATAAAGGTGCAGCTCTTCCTGCCCGCTTGCATGCCTATGCAGTAATTGTCCTTCCCTCTCCTGTCTCTTTCTAATAAACTTACTCTTTTAATATAAATGAGTCTCTGTCTAGTGGAGAAACTCACCGCGCGTGCTGCTGAAAGGGAAGCTCTGTTGAAACCTTCCTGAGAGTGAGCCCAAGGACCCTGAACTCCAAAAATGACATCAGAACCACGATTTAGGAAAGTAGCCATGAGTACAACAGCCAAGAGTTGTTTCAATCAGCTCTTTAACCTGCGATAGTAAGAGACTTACATCTGATAGTGAAAAAAAGAGAAAGAAGGGAGGGGGGGAATCACGAAAGAAAAAAAGAATGAGCACATCAGGCATTGGGCTGCAGTGAACAAACTGCAGTGGACAGAAAAGTACAGAACCCTGGAGCTGAACTCCAATCTGCCTTGAACTTGCTGAGTGACTATGAGCTTAACTTCCCTTGAGCCTGTTCCCTCATTAAAGAGGTGTTGCTGAACATGTTCTGTTACTCGCACAGGAAAGATGTGAGTGTAAGTCATAAGCAGGAGCAATCAGAGAGAGGAAAGGAAAGTCAGCGTCTCTCAGACAGTGGAAAAGCGGGAGCAGGTGAATCTATAGGTGGAGGTGAGCCCAACATAGCCGAAGGCTCAGACGTCCAGGTGAAGGGAGCCAGTTTCGTGCCTTTGCTATTCACAGGGCAGCTCTGCCCTGTACAGGGTTAGCAGATTACATGCGACATGGTGACCTTGGTGATGGGGCCAGAAACAGGCACATGAATCTCTCAAGAGGGCTTGAGTCGTTTTCTCATTTTGACTATAAAGGGGTGGAAGAAAGGAAGGCTGAACCGGATGCCTAACTCAGAAGTTGTGGGGGGAAAAACGCCAGACTCCTATTCTCTTATGAGAGAGCACATGCTTCAACTTGGACTGAATGAAGACTGGGGGTACATAAGACCCCAGAGCCGGAGAACAAGCTGAGGTGGTGTTTAAACAGCCTCCTGACCTACTGACTGAGAATATAATTGTGATTGAGGAGAGCTCAAACTGAGGGAAAGATTTGCCTGTAAGAGTAACCTACAAGCAATACAGTTTTTTAAGCCCAGTTGTCTTGAGTCATGAACTCCCTGCTGCCTTCCTGGTATGATTCCCTAGACTGTGACAGAGTCCTGTCCAGGCGTCTGAACGGCCAGCCTGTTCTGAGACTGTGTCGCACATCAAGGCAGCTCTATTTCCAGAGAGTAGGTGGTGGCTATATCAGTAAGTGATCCCCAATGAGGAAAAGGTAAATCTGGAGGGGAAAAGAGAGAAACTTCGTGACCAGTCACCCTTCCCCTTTAGGGCAGTGGGCTTCTGTAGCCAGCACTTCCACTGCATTTGATTTAAAGAGAAGATGGATTCTCTTAGCCCCATTTGCCAATAATCAGGAGCAAAATTAAAGCCAAAAGAATGTATATGTCCACATTTGAGCAGGATTGTAATCCATTTATACACAACATTTTAGAAATTCAGTGAACTGCATAAACTAACTTCCGCTTAGTTCTGTTCTAACACTTATTTCTACAGTGCTATGGCTCCTTTTTATTAGGTGAACCATGGAAATAAAATCATGTCATGCTATGGACTTGCACCTGTTGTGGCATGGAGGCCGGGTACCCACACTAGGACAGGTCACTCATGGTCACCTAATTCCAAGCAAACTGTTCCTGAGATTGTCGCTCCTCTGGTGGGAAACTGAAACTGAAATACCATCGGGACTTTCACCTCCTGAGACCTTTGACCTGGAAAGGAACTGAGATTAGTAAATTTGAGACATGTGTGCTGGGGGTACACAGGAAGTTAGTCACTGGTGGGGGTGTGGGGGGGTGAGGGGTGGACTGGGAGATGTAAAGAAACAAAGCCTAGCAGGGAGACTGGAGTGTTTTATGCTTTGAGAGCTAGACTAGAGCGATGCTATCCCAAACTCTACTTTGTACCATTGTGTCTTTCTGCTATTTTATGTTGTGTTCTCATTCCCCGTTTTTGTTTATTCAAGGTCATCAGTAAACAAAAGATTCTCACATTTGAGTGCATCAAGGTCACCTGATTGGTGGTTAAGCATGCAGATTCCCAGCCCCCACACTCTGTTTAATCTCCTCTAATTCAGGGGCAGGGGTTCTGATGCCCCGATTCAATAACTGCCCCTGGGGATCAGCAAAGAAAGCAGTGTGGCCAAAGGCCAGGCCCACACTGTTGACAGTGAAGAAATGACTCACACCGCACAGTGGCCCTCTGAGCTGTTTCAGTGATATAAATCTCTGAACACATGGGCATTTGGGTTATAAGAGTTCTGAGGCAAGCAGGTGTCCTGTCCCTGCCCACCTGCTTTCCTTCTAATTTATCTGACTCCCTCTCCCCTTTGAGTTTCCTTTTTGATCCCTGCCTAGGCCACTGCTGCTGCCCTTAGGGCATTCAAAGCCTCTTTGCCCCTCTGCTGGTCACTGTGGCTCAAATCCTGTAACAAGAGAGCAGCGTCAGCATTGTGGAACCCCTGCCCATGGAAATCTCCTTCAGGGGGAAGGAAAATTTACATTCTTTACCCTGCACATACAGGACTCTTTTATGTTGAACTATCTTGAGCTTTAATTTCCTTGGTGCCTTTTCACAAAATGGAGGTTTAACAACAGAAGGCCTAAGATTTTAAAATATGTAACAACTGCCCTCCGATAATTGACACCTTCTTCCAGACCCCACGTGCTCTCCTGTCCAGCTGGAGACTTTGCTGGCAGGTGCCCAGGGAGAAGCAATAAGCAGAGGACTGACTCTTCACCCCCACAGCAGGCTCCTGGCACCCTCCTGGCCCCTGAGGATGTCTCGGACTTCCTTTGCTTGCTCAGACAGCACTCTCAGGTCTGAAGGGCCCTCTCTGAAGTCTTGCCCACCCGGAACTGAATTCACCTTCCAGGAGTCAGTTTTCCTGTGATTTCCTGGAACTTCCTTCACCCTGAAGGCTCCCTCCGGTACATCTTTGAGTTCTAAGGTTGCAATGAAACCGAAACCCTGTTTCTAACACACTGCCCAGTCTCCTAAAATGAGGGGTAATCGGGCTTCAGTCAGCTCCTTTCTGTGCTACAAAGCTGAAGATTTAACTCAAGTTCAAGTTCGCGGTGCAGATGCCAGCACCGCCACCTCCAGGCAGCCCCAGGAGCGCCTGAAAGCGGAATCAGGCTGAGCAAACTCCTGGCCGTCTACCCCAACCCCCTCTCCTACACCTGCTGCGCGATTCCCAGCCACAGCGGAGACCTATTCCCAGACCCAGGCGCGGTTTCTCGTGAGAGCAACCCGCTGGTTCCCTTTCGCCCATCCCGGTAGTCCCTTACCGTCGTCGGGGAAGAAGAGCACCTTGAAGCGGGGTGGGTTCCCTGGCTCCTGCCGGATCTCGCATTCTCCGCCTCCCGATCTTTTGGAGCTCTGGAAGTACAGCTGCAATTTAGTGCTCAGATTCTTCGGGGGATCCGGTCCCCAAGACCCTTCTACCAGCAGAGGAAAGGGACCAGATTCAGCCATCCTCAGCTTGGTCTGTCTGACTGCCTCTTTCGCTTTCGTTTCCTGGAAGACTCCTCCCTGTCCTAAGTTTCTGTTTTTGGCTCTTAACAGCTGCTCCCGATTTCACCTTCATGTTAGCCCTCCATTGTGGCTGCCCGGAGCCACTTTAAGCTTCTGACCTCCCCATCTGTGTACAAGGGGCTGTAGTTCAGGGTCTCTGCCTTCACCCATAACAGCATCTGCAGTCAGCAGCAATGGTCACTCCACCTTGCTCCAACACAGACAGCATCATTGTTGCTGAAGGCCCATATTGTACAAGATAGCAAAGGACCCAGCCCAGTGTGGCTTTTCAGATGATTGTGATAAGCATTTGTGGATTTGCATCACTTGACAAATTTATATGCAATTGGTTTTCCCGGAGCTCTTAATCGACTGCAAATTTACTTTTTCTCTCTCTCTCTCTTTTCCTTGCAGTTTCTCCTCTCTTGACAGGCTTTGCAAGGAAAAGGAACCCAAAGAAAAGCAAATAGTGAGAAAGCACACTGTTGCTGCCTGCTGCCCTCGCCCATTATTCTTGCTGATTCCCCATTTTGGTTTCTCTTTATGTAAATAAAGGCTGGTGTCCACCTGTCCCAGTCCCACACTAACTTTTTTAATTATTATTTGTAATAATACAGTAGGTTTTTTTTTTTACATCATTTTGTGCTTTTTTCCATTTCAGTTGTAATCCCCGTGGACTTCCCACCACCAATCACCCCTGTGCCATCACCATAGTCCAGTGCATTTCCCTCCCCACCACCGTTTTTGGTCCCCTTCCCCACTCTACCCCCATAAAATGTCTCTGGTATATAGTTGTTCATTATTATTATTGTTTTCCCCCTGGTCCTTTATACTCCTCTATGAGTGAAACCATCTGGTATTTTTCCTTTTCTTTCTGGCTTATTTCACTAAGCATCATCTTTTCCAGTTCCATCCATGTTGCTGCAAAAGGCATGTGTTTTTGACTGCTGAGTAATATTCCATTGTATATATGTACCATATCTTTTGTTTGTTTGTTTGTACCACATCTTTTTAATCCAGTCATCTACTTTTGGGCATTTGGGTTAAACCCATGTCTTTCCAATTGTAATTAAGCAGCAATAAATATGGGGGTGCAGGTGTCTTTTTGAATCAGTGTTTTTGTGTCTTTTGGGTATATTCCTAGGAGTGGGATTGTTGAGTCATATGGAAGTTCCATTTTTTGCAGTTTGAGGAACCTCTAAACAGTTTTCCATAGTGGTTGTACTAGTTTGCATTCCCACCAGCAGTGTAGTACGGTTCCTTTTTCTCCACATCCTCACCAACATTTGTTATTGTTAGTTGTTTTAAGATGCCAGCACTAACTTTTACTCCCAGCAGGAACTTTCACTCCCTCCCCTTTGTAGAATCTTGCCCAACTCCCCGTTTTTCTTTGTTTAGCATTGTATAAATAACCCTGTAACCTGCCAAAGAGCAGGACAGTGGTCTTTAGACCTAAACCTGCTGCCTCCTCATTTGTCAACAAATAAAACTGCATTCCTTTTCCTCAAACTCTGTTTCCTTTTACTGGATTTGGGAAACCGAGACAAGCATTAGATAACAGTTGGAGGCTCAGTGGGGACATCTTTCAATAATTAAATAATTATCAGATGGTGACCTTGCTTTCCTTTTGCTTTTTGTTTCCTGATTTGCTGAGGGCTAGAAATTTGGGAGGGGCGTGGGGACCGGAAGAACTTTACAGGTTTTTATGGAATATTTATTAGTTGCCATCACTTTAGGTAAATTCAGTAGAGCCCCTTGCTGTCATTGTCCTCAGGAAGCTGTGGGACACAGTCGTTAGGAGACTGCAGAATAACTGCTTTTGGAAGGAATATATAGGTGTCTGTCCCTGGTGCAAATTAGGAGGGCATCCTAACCTAGATGAGGGACTCCGAGGGTGACATGACCTGAAGACAGTCTCTCTTTCCTAGCCTCCCTTGGAGCTCCCTCTGGGAGGCGTCACCATCACCTAGCCAGTTGCTCAGGATGTCCGAGGATCACCCTGAAGTCATCCAGGCATCTTTCCCCACACTCTCCATCCTCCAGCAAGTCCTGCAGCTGTCCCTTCCACACTGATTTGAAGCCCCACCCTTCCCCAGGCCTCCTCTGCTTCCAGTAGATAGACGCAGCAAGTGGTTTCTTGACATGGAAAGTTCTCCTGGCAATGGTGCTGTGAACATTCTTGAAGCAGCAACGGGCAGGAGCAGGTGGGCTCGTTTGCAAAGCGTCCTCCTGTGGGCCAGGTGCTATTAGAGGCAGGGGTGCCACGGGGACCCCGGGCGGAAAGGAAGAGTAGATGTTACGATAGACATCACGGGAGCCTCATTTTAGTAAACTGCCCCCAACATTCACAACCACCACCCGATTCGTCAGCAGCCATCCACACCAAGCCAAGACCCTCCACCAGAAAAAAAGATTAGGATTCACCGAAGACTCAGGTGATGGTGTGAACCTGCTTGGTGTCGATTACAGGAGAAGCTGGGGTCACAGTGTGGGGAAATGGGAAGTGAAAAGAGCCTGGGTTTGGGTGGCAGCAAGTGCAGAGTCAGCCCTAGAGCCAACCATCTCCAGATTTCCTGTTAGTGAGATGTGAGCAGTGTAACCAGATGACCAGGCCACTCCCGTCCTGCATCCACTTCTAACCCAGGGTTAACTTGTCTAAAGGTGGCTGATCAGTAAATCAGTAGATCAACTAGTTCATAACCACAAGGGGCACCAAGGGTCAATACAATCAATAATTTAATAATGAGATAACTGGGTAGAATTTTTAGTCTTTTTTCCTCTAAATTCTATTCTCTTCCTAGACATTTGTCTAGGAACTAACAATCCTGTTAGTGTATGATTTTTGCCCTTCTAACATTTAACTAGTTGACAAGAGATCGTATACTATAGCTCTTGTACTTACCCCATGTATTATAGGAAGTTGTCTGCAAAGTCTTAAAACTTGTAGAAATAGTAAGCATTCACATTTAAATTGTTTTAAGTGATATTAGATAAAATCACATTTTTAAAATAACGTGAAATCATACGTGTAATTTTGGAGAATGAGAATTGATAAGTGACACAGACCTTTCTCTTTGCTTCACGCTGTCATAGAATATACTGAGCAGTTTAGGCAGAAAGATGACAACTTTAACTTCTTTTAATGATGGAGAGGAATATTTTGATGTCAAGTCTACAACAGCACTGACTATGTCATCAGCAACACTGACTGGGTTTCTCACCCCCCCCCCTTTATAAATAACAAAAAGAAGTTTCAGCTGGTGTTGGTCATGTGAAAAGATTTGGCAAATGCAGTTCTTTCTGCTGAAAAAGAGGAAAGTAAGGACTGGCCAGGAACTGGCATTCACAGAGGGTGCTGGTATTTTCCAGCTGAAATTAATTTCATAAAACATCATCAAATATAACCACTCGGTGACTGTGAAGAATTAACCCCAGAACAAGACCACTCTATAATCATGTCTGACCATAGACAGAAATAGGAATGCTATTCAAAACACATGGATGACCAAATATCTCCCTATCTTGGCTAAGATGAGCAGCTACTGATTCATTATAAACCACATTTGCTCCATTCCACTTTCCTTCTAGATAAGATACCCAATCATAGAATTATGTCTGTTTTCTGAAAGCATCCAGTCCAGACCAAAGCCCCAGTTGAGTCTACCACAGAATCACTTAACACAAACAAATCCACCCGTGTCCCTCTTGCTGAGACGTGTGGAGTCTCCTTGTATCATGTGCTCCTGAGGGGCTCTTGCTGCAAGGCACAGACACTGTGGAGGAAAGAAAGTGTGATTTTGATGCAAGAGACTTGGGCTGATCTGCTTAACTGTGATCTTGGCTTAGTCATGTGATCCCTCTTAGACTAGCTTGCTAGGGCTGCCAAAATGAAGTGGCATGGACTGGTGACTTAAGTAACAAAATCACTTACCCAAAATTTTGGAGGCTTGGTTTAAGGTGTTGTAAAACTTTTTTTCTGAGCCTTCTCCTCCTACACTCACAGATGGTCTTCTCCCTATGTCTTCACATGGTCCTCCTTCTACCTATAGCTGTCCTAATCTCTTCTAACAAGGACACCACGATCATTTGGGACTAAGTACTTAGATGACTTCATTTTACCTAAATTACTCTTTAAAGACCTCATCAAGTATAATTGCATTCTAATATCCTGAGGACTAAGACTTCAACAAATGAACTTTGAGGAAGCATGACTCAGCTCAGAGTACTTATTTTTTTAATTAATTTACTTATGCACACAAGAACTTGGGTAAGGCCAGAGGTGCAGGGGAGGAGTGAGAGGAGATTTTTAAAGCAGGGAGCAGAGCAGGCAGCTATACTGCAATACACTGCTGAGGGGAGCAGCGGACGAGACAGGAGAGGTCTGCTGCGTCATATGGGTCACCTCCCTAGCCAGGATTGAATTTGTGCTGCAGTGGCTGTGGCTAGCTTCATGGTGCTGTGCTTTAACCTGTTGTGCCACCAGGGAAGGCCCAGCTTAGCATACTTCTAAATTTCAGTTACCCAATTATAAAATCAGGTGATAATAGAGAGTAATAAATAATAGAGTTAAAAGTGTAGTAGCTAATAATACAATAATTAAGAGTTCTATTACTAACAAGAAACATGTATCCCAAAACTAATAAAATTTAGCACTTTACCTAAGTTCTTCGATTTTTATGATTTAATTTAATTTTATTTTTTACAACCAGACATTTGGCTGATTTCAGCCAGGAATCTCCCCATCAAGGCTGGAGTTTGCCCCATTTGATCAAGTTCAGTGACAGCTGGTTTGAGTGGTTTTGCAATTTTACAGATTAGGTTCATGTTGGTTGGATCTACTATTTTCTAGCCAATATGTAACTAGGTCACTGCTCACCTGTTTCATAAAGACTAGCTAGCATAGTACCTCCCTTGCAGGATTACTTGAACATTAGAGAGACAATAGATGAAAAATTACAGAATCTGGCACACAGAAAGTATTAAATAAACGCTAGTTATGTTATCCCTGT